TCTAACCATCTCAAAGCAGCAGATAATGCCAGCTTTTGTGCGACGCCCAGACCCTGCAGTGAGCCCAGCTGCAGCACTGTCCCATAGCAACTGACTCCCTCAGGGAATCCCCTGGATGAACTCCCCCTAGGAGGAGGAGGAGGAGGAGGAGGAGGAGGAGGAGGGAGGGAGGGTGGCAGACTTCCTGGGAGCTACACAGGTTTCATTCACTCATCCTCACTGCTTGTCCCTCCCAGTGTGGGCAGGGCTGTCCCCAGCTCAGGCCGGAAGGGAACAGAGGCGCGTGTGGCACATCAGACGCAGGAAGAAGGAAAGAGCGATGCCCGGGAGGCTGATGAGCGCGACCTCCACATCCTCGTTGCTGGGGCAGCAACTCCAGTCCCGCAGGGAGACAACGACGTCCTGTGAGACAAGCACACAGAGCGCGGGCACGGCACCTGCACATGCAGCCCGTCCCGCAGGGCAGCGGCCGCTCCGGAGGCGGCTGTGGGCCAGGCCTGTGGGAGCTGGGCCCGCCCGGCCTGCCTTCCCGCGGCCTGACTTTGTCTAACGCAGCGGGTCTGCGCCTGGCTTTCCTCCGCACGAGATGCAATGCTGGACGGAATGACCTCGAGAAGCCTCCACGTTACCAGCTCTCTCATCCTCAGTGGACACAACGGCAGCTTCTGACCGTCACCGCCCTCCGCACCCAGCCCAGCCCCGGGCGTCTGGGGGGCAGGGGTGCCACCTGCGGAAAGTGGGTGTGTCTCCAGCCCCCCAGCCGCCTCGGAAATGGCAGGAGCGGCTGGGGTGCTTTCCAATCTGGCTGTCGGCGGCGGCAGGAGTGAGCGGTGCCCCGGACTGAAGACCACAGAAACCACAGCCGTATGGTCCTGTCTCCCGGAGGCCAAGCCCTTCAGTCGGAAGCTGAGGAGCGAAGTGGCTGGTCGGCGGCCCTGTGTCGGGTAAGGCTGCCGGCCTGGGCTTTCCCCTCCGACACTCGCCCCGCGAGGTGCTGTCAGCACCGGTTCCTGGCGGGTTCTGTGTGGCTCCTGGTGGCGTTTCTATTATTACTTCCTTATGCTGTTACTTAAAGCCATTATTGCTGTTTTACTCTTTGGGATAAACGTCCAACGCTAAGTCCTAACAGCTATGCAGTTTCTCAGATGGGAACTTTAAAGCCAATGTTATTTCACTGTCCAAAGGCTCGTCTGAGGGAGATAATATTTCCACGCAAGGAAACGGAAGCTAAGGTCATGGAAGTGTCCCGTCTAGGCTCACCCCACTGCAGCTGAAGTCTTACTGAGGCCACACTAACCGCAGTCTCCCACACACTCCCCGCTCCTCTGGAGGTCAGGTTCATGTCTTTCAGGCATGGAGCTTTTATTCCTAAACTAGAGGCCCGGTGCACAAAATTCATGCACTGAGGGGGAGGGGTAGTGGAAGAGGGAGGGTCCCTCAGCCTGGCCTGCGCCCTCTCACAGTGTGGGAGCCCTTGGGGGATGTCTGATTGACAGCTTAGGCCCGCTCTCTGTGGGGGAGCGCACTGACCACCAGGGGGCAGCTCCTGTGTTGAGCGTCTGCCCTCTGGTGGTCAGTGCGCATCATAGCAACCGATTCTTCTGCTGTTTGGTTGATTTGCATATTAGCCTTTTATTATATAGGATTCATATTCATTTTTCATAGCTAAGAAACATTTGATAAGAAATATTTGAGCCTGGCCGGCATGGCTCAGTGGTTGAGCATTGACCTATGAACCAGAAGGTCACGGTTTGATTCCTGGTTGGGGCACATGTCCAAGTTGCAGGCTTGATCCCCAGTAGGGTGAGTGCAGGAGTCAGCTGATCAATTGTTCTCTCATCATTGATGTTTCTCTCTCTCCCTTCCTTTCTGAAATCCATAAAAATGTTTTAAAATTGAGTCTATCCCAACATACGCCCTATAGTTTCAGGGTCATCAATTGAGAGCCTTCTGTAATGAAGAGGCCACATTTCATCCTGGAGGCCTAGCGTGGCCTTGAGGTAACCCTGAAGAGCCTTGGGAGTCAGGAGCACTGCTCCTGGTGCTGGGAACAAGTGCGTGGCCATTGAACTTTAGAGAAACCAGGCCCGAGGCCACAGTTACTGTGGTCAGAATGAAAGAATGGGAAGAAACGACCTTAAGGAAACATATTCTATGATGCTTACCAACTGGGTATGGAGAGTAGCGCTCGGCGAGAGGGGGACTCCTATGCTTATAGGCTAGAAAGTGGGTGATGTCCACCCTATGCCGCCAGGAGAACACGCCAAGGGTTTGGCGGTGGGCACAGCAGACACGGGGCCGAGTGTGAGGAGCTGGTAGGACAGCGAATAGACGTGTTCAGTTTGATACGTGGCTGCAAAAGTTATTCACTGTTTGGCTTAAAGCCTATAGTTAAGTGGAAGTTGAAGCTGTGTGGTTAGAGGAGGTTAAACAAATGTGTAAAATGTGAGGGGAGTAATAAGTGGACTGTGGTTTCACTAATGGGTAGGAGGTGATCAGAGGAAGAAGCCATTTTATAGCCCAGGAAAAAACAGGAAGTGGAGTGAAAAGATGATGTTGAAGAGAATTGTGGGGAAAAAAATTTGCCAAGGGTATAAAAGTTTAGCGTGTAAGAGTGTCTTAAATTAATCACTGGTTGAAGAAAATTGCTCTGAAATTACTGCCATGCATGACTTGGACTGGTGGAAATACAGTGAGCTAATCTGTGTAATTTCCCCATTACGTGTCATTCTTTAGTCCCTAAGGGCCTTAATAATAGATATGACTTTGGTAGGGAAAGATGATGCCGGCAATGGGTCACGGTGGAGACTGCCAAGGTCTTGTTTTGCCTACTTTATAGCTTTTGTTGACATTCTGAGTGTAAATCCTGTGAGTGTTACAAGGACTTATCTTTGGGGAGCGAGCAGAAGGAGGAAGTCTGTCATCATGAGAAGTCCTCCCGGCCCAGTGCTGGGCGAGTATTGTACGTTGTCATATTAGTCACTCCTCAGGATTCAGCTCGACACATAATTTCCTTTTTTTCCCTATTTCGCTGAGTTAGAAGCATACCAAATGGGTGAGTATGCAGTAAGCATTACTAACGTTGACCTGAATATAGTGGAAATGGCCTCATTGTCACTCTTGTTGCCAGAGCCAGTCCGGCGGGTTGTGAGGCTGGAGATGAAAAGAACAGTCAGAATGGAGAAGAGACGCGTGGACCATGTCTCCCCCACATGCCAACCTGTTCCTCTTACAAAAACGGTCAGGAACTCGGGGTCAAATACCAGAGCAACCTCGGATTCAAGAGCAGCGCAGCCCAGCGGGCGGTTAGAAGCGTCTGAGTGATGCTCAGTCAGCACGGGCGTGGGTTAAACGCCACGGAAAGAACCCTGTGGCTGGGGTCACATAAGTGACTGGTGCCACCTGCAGCTTCTGCGCCGGGGACGGTGCTACCACCAACTCAGACCCTGCCCGCCCAGAGGCCCAGTCCACCGCGACATGATTTCAGGGACACCCAGCCTGTCCTCTCCACGCCCTTCTCTGTAGCTGTCCACTCCACCGCCACTCATGCTGCTGCCCTCATTCATCCCCAAGGTGCCCGATGACCGGCCCGGGGCCCCGCACTGTGGTGGGCGGGACAGACAGGCCCCTGCCTCTGTGCTGCTGCATTTAGCGGACGAAAGCCGATGGCCTCGACCTGCTCACGTCCTCCTGACGGTGGTAGCTTAGCGAGAGCTCTGGGTGAGCGTAAGAGGGCCAGGCCAGTTAGCAGGGCCCAGGGCCTGGGGAGGTCGCGCCCCACAAGCCCACCCCGGCCAGGGAACTGAGCTGTCTCACGGGTGCCCCGACCCGGCTCCCCACCCCAAAGTACACGCCGTGAATATACGCATCCGGGACTGTCCCTTCTCACTGGTACCCTGGCCATGGACACGCGGACTTTCCACCCCAACAAGTAACGCGCGTGATAAAGATTATGAGTGTGCCCTGCGAGTTCTTACTGCTTTTCCCCGTTAAACTGCCTTTACATCTGAAGCGAATCCCGCTGCAACAGAGGCCCAATTTCCGATCGTGCACGAGCTGGGAAGGACACAGCGGTGCCAGGGGAAGGAGCGGCCTGGGGCAGGGGACACTCTGGTTAGGACAGCAGGAAAGGCGCCTGGGAGGAGCCAGCGACAGACTCCACGCAGGAATGAGAAAAGGCAGGCAGCCGAGCGGAGGAGGAACATGGGGGCAGAGAGCAGGGGGGGCGGCTCGAATGGAGGGGTGGGTCTGCAATGTCTGTGGACGGACAGAGAGCCAGGCCCAGCCAGAGGCGGCTCGCGGAGACCGCGGAGGAGCAAGCAGGGGGGGCGGCAGGACCGGGTTTACTGCAACTACAACACGAAGCCACAGAAGATAAAGTGCAAGATGAACATGAGTTGCTATTCTTTTGGCCAGAGAACGAGGCCCGCGCCTGAGCTCCGGGGCCACACGGCTCCTGCTGGGGCGGCCTCAGGGTCCGAGTCACAAAACTGGACGTTCCCCAGCGCCTCCTCTCTCCCCTGCCTGGCCCTGCAGAACCCCTGCCTCTCCCTTCGCCCCTCTTCACGGAGATGCCTACACGCAGCGGGAGATCTCGGTGATCTCCCCGGGGTTTGTGGAGAGGAACTACTTTATTGCTGAGGAATAATGTTGTAAGCAGGAAATGTTGCATCAATTTTTCTCTAGAAACACATTCCTTTCCTGTCACTCTTGATGGAACGAGTGCTTCTTGGTGCTCACAGCCAGGGTAGAGTCTCCTTTTGTACAGGAGCTTCTTGCTTTCTGCACCCAAGGCAGCGCTCCCAGACCCACCACCAGGCCAGGCCCCGCATTTCCCATCACAGGCCTGGGACACCCGCGCTCCCGCACTGCCCCCCGGTGGCCGGATGCGTGAACTGCAAATCAAAGCTCTCCTGGAACCAACTTTTCCAGACCGCTCATCCGGAACTAATCGCAGTAATTATGCGTCTTCCTAATAACAAAATGCCTGACCGCCTGTAAACCAGTTACCATGTTGACTTTTATTAACAACAACAAAAAACAACAAGAAGGAGGTAGTGAGAACAATGAATTGTCTTGAAAGGCTGAGTGCTGTCAGGTGAACCTGGGATGAGTGTGTGTGTGTGTGTGTGTGTGTGTGTGTGTGTGTGTGTGAGAGAGAGAGAGAGAGAGAGAGAGAGAGAGAGAGAGAGAGAGAGAGAGAGAGAGAGAGAGAGAGAGAGAGAGAGAGAGAGGAGGTGTGTCTCACATACATACATTCCTGTGCTTTCTTGGAGTTATAGCGCCATCTTGTGTCTTTCTTAGATTCTTCTGATAAAAAATATGGAAACCTTTGTTGCCTCCAGGTCTTGGCAACTGTGAGTAAAGCTTCTCTAAACATCCGTGTGCAGGTTTGTGTGTGGACATGCTTTCAACTCGCTGGGGTGACTACCAAGGAGCGTGGCTGCCGGGTCGCGGTGCAGGATGCTCAGCTTTTAAGAAACCGCCCGGCTGTCCTCCGAAGGGGCCGCACCGTCTGAAATGAGTCCCGCGGCCCCTCCCTCCGCCCCGGGAGCTGCAGTGTTGAGCTTTAGCCGCTGACAGCCAGCAGTGGTGTCTCACGGTTTTACTTTGCAGTCCCCTGGTGACATGGGATACTGAGCACCTTTTCATGTGCTATCTGCCATCTGCGTATCTTCTCTGGTGAGGCATTCTTGGGACCCTTTGCCTATTTTTTAATGAGTTTTGAGTTCTTTGAACATTTTGGATACAAGTCCTTCATCAGATACGCGTTTTGCAATTATTTTTTCCCAGTCTCTGCCTCTTTTCTTTCTCTTGATAGTGTCTTTGGAGAGAAGTTTTTTATCTTAATGAAGCCAGAAAAGAACCATCCCTTATGTAGGAAACAGCCTAAAACACTAACAAATGGGGGGTGCGGGAGGTTAGGAGGAAGTGCTAATTTTTTCCTCACAGCAGGGCACTAATTTTACTGTCCAATCAAAATAATAAAAATTAAAACATTTTTTAAAAGAATATATATCTTCCAATAACTTACCTCACTTACCATGTTTTAGATATTCATCAATGTTGCATATAATTTTTTCTCAACTGTGTAGTATTTCATTGCAGAAATATGCCTTTTTGTTCGTTTTATCCATTTTCCTGTTGATGGATCCCTGAATCGCTTTTGGTTTTTGGCTGTAATAAATAACCCTGCTATACTCTTATAAGTCTTAATTTAAGAGTCACTTTAAATTCTGAGTTGACCTGGGATGATTGAATAATTGGAATCACTCTTCACCCCTCAGGTTTCAGCCCAGGTATCATTTCCTTAGAGCCTTAGTGACCATCTAAGGGAGTCCTGTCTTTCTCCCACCATTTGCCCCCCCACCCCCATACCCTTTTTATCTGCTACATATGCAGCCTTTATGCTGTTGTAATTACTTGCTCACCAGCCTGTCCCTCCGGGCATTGCAAATTCCCTCGCTAGGGCTAGACCACAAAGCCGCAAGGGGCGCGCCGGGAGCCAGGAGTCCTCCCACCAGCAAGGCCACAGGCTGCGCGCTCCCCAGCAACCAGACGCTCGCGTTCCTGATGTTCTCAGCAAATCGTACAGGTGATTAGCACGTCCCCCAACAAGCCTAAAGCGCGCAAGGGCGGCCGGTATCCCCACGACCGAGCCGGGAGGAGCAGGTTTGCGGGCGGGAGACGAGTTCAGATTAGGCCGCTCGAGCACATCACAGGGCTCCCCGCTCCCCTGTGACCAGTGGAGTCTGTGCGCAGAGCGTGCAGTCGGGACGGCCCACGAGCCACAGGAAACAACTTACACGGAGACCTGCCCACTCAGCGGCCCACGGCTGGCGCCGAGCGAGGAGCAGGCAGGCTGGCGGGGCACCGGGGGCTTGTGGGGCACGGAGGATGGACTGAGACCCACCCCTGTGCCCACCGCAGCCCCATGGCCCACAGTTCCTTTCAAGGTGCACGAATTCGTGCACTGGGCCCCAGTTAGAACTAATAAATAACTTCAGTAAAGTTGTAGGACACAGAATAAATATGCAGAAATCTGTTCAGAATTCTATATACTAAAATAATGATCAGAAGAAGATATTAAAAAAACTATCCCATTTACAATAGCATTAAAATTATAAAACACCACCCTGGCCAGATAGCTTTGTGGGTTAGAGCAGTGGTCGGCAAACTCATTAGTCAACAGAGCCAAATATCAACAGGACAACGATTAAAATTTCTTTTGAGAGCCAAGTTTTTTAGACTTAAACTATATAGGTAGGTACATTGTTATTAACTTAATTAGGGTCCTCCTAAGGATTGGGAAGAGCCACACTCAAGGGGCCAAAGAGCCGTATCCGGCTCGCGAGCCGCAGTTTGCCGACCACGGGGTGAGCGCACTGTCCTATTACACCAAGGTTGAGGATGCAATCCCTGGTCGGGCACATACCAGCAGCAAGCAGTGAATGCAGAGATCAGCAGAACAACAACAACAGCCACGCCTCTGTTTCTGTCTCCTTCTCACTCTCTAAACATCAATAAATTAAAATAAAAGTATTAAATACCTAGGAATAATTTTTAAAAAATATTTATTGTTGAAAGTATTACATATGTCTCCCTTTAACCCCCAATATCTAGGATTAAATTTACCCAAAGAGGTGAAAGACCTGTACTCTGAAAACTGTAAGACACCAAAGAAAGTAACTGAACAATACAAATAAATGGAAGGATATACCTTGCTCATAGACTGAAAGAATTAATATTGTTAAAATGTCCTTGCTACCTAAAGTAATATACAGATCCTATGCAATCCCTATCAAAATACCAATGGCATTCTTCTCAGCATTAGAACTAATCCTAAAATTTATATGGAACAATTTCTTAATAGCCAAAGAAATCTTGAGAAAGAACAAAGTAGGAGGTATTACGCTCTCCAATATCAAACTATACTACAAAGCTATAATAATCAAAACAGTAAAATACTGGCATAAAAAAAGAAAGATACAGATTCATGGAATAGAATAGAGAATACAGAAAAAATTCCTTGCTTCTAAGGTCAATTAATCTATGACAAAGAAGGCAAGGATATACAATTGAGTAAAGACAGTTTTGGTGCTGACAAAACTATACAGATAAATGGAAAATATGAAATTGGACCACTTTCTTATCCTATATAATAAAAGAGAAACATGGTAATTAGCGTTTGACCGCTACCCTTCCCATTGGCTAATCAGGGCGATATGCAAATTAACTGCCAGCCAAGATGGCGGTTAACCGCCAACAAAGATGGCGGCTGATTTGCATACAGAGGCGCAATGATGGGAGGCAAAAGGGGAAAGACGGAAGAATGGTGGCAGGCAAGAGCTGGGGGGCGGGCAAAGGCAGCCCGCTGCCTTTGCCCACCTCCCAGCCAGTGATCGCCATCAGAAAGCCCAGCAGGCCAGGCGACACCCCTGGCAGGGGTGCTGGTGATCACCATGGCGATCGGAGGAAGAGAGAGCTGGGGTGTAGGACCACCAGGGCCAGGGGTACCGACTGGCCTGCGTCTCTCTTATCTGCGATGGCGAAAAAAGGGGCAGGGCCCCAGGCACAGTCGCACCCCGTCACCGGGTGCTCCTGTGCCTGCAGTCCCCTGATATGCGATCTTGAAGGGAGAGGTGGGGCCGCAGGCAGGGGAGATCCGGGCTGGTGGGGCGACCGCAGAGGTCAGCCAACACTCAGCCCCCAACCGGCTCTCCCTGGGAGTCTGGATCGGAGGGCGCTCTCCCTGGGAACCCGGAAATCCACCTCCCAGGGCGACTGCGCAGAAACCAAGCCTGGTGAGCCATGGAGAGGGCGACCTACCTGGAGGCCACGCAGCTTTGATAGTTGAAGTCGCCCTGGATGGAGGACTGGGGGCAGCAGGGATCAGAGTCGGCCAAGTCAGCCATGGAACCCCGGGTCCCCGCCGAATGACTACAGCACATGGGCTTCAATGGTCCTTGGTCACTTGCTGAGCAGCAGTCAGCCTGGACCAGGAATCAAACCCAAAACCTGACAGAATGGAACCCAAACCTTTGCTGTGGCAGAGGAGCTCCGACCCACAGCAGGGGCCAGGGCACACCAGAGGGATTTTGTTGAGGGGCCCTGACAGGCAGCACCCTGAGCAGTGGGTTAGAACCTCCTCCTGATACAGCAAAGTTGCAGGTTGGATCCCTGGTCAGGGCACAGACAAGAAGCCACCAAAGAGAGCATAGTAAGTGGAACAACACACTGATGTTTCTCTCGCTCCCTTCCTCTCTCTAAAATAATCAATCAATAAAAATGGTTGTCTCTTGCTGAATCCCCAACCAGGGCCCTGGATTAAGCCGGCAACCCAGGTATATGCCTTCGATTGGAATCCAACATGGTACCCTTCAGTCTGCCTGCAGAAGCACTATCCACTGAACCAAACCAGAATTTTTTTTTTTCTTTTTAAGTCCTCCTCTAAGGATATGTTCTTTTCGTTGATTCTAGAAAGAGAGGAAGGGAGAGGGAAAGAGAAAGAGAAACATCGATCAGTTGCCCAAGCAACCCACAACCTGTGTATGTGCCCTCACCTGGAATCGAACTCAGGACCCTTTGGTGCGTGGGAGGACACTCTAACTAAGGATCCACACCAACCAGGGCCTGGAGGTACAATGAGTTCCCTCAGTGGGAGTGCTGCTCATCCAGAAGCCGGGCTCATGGCTGGTGAGTGCAGCGGAGGTGGCAGGAACCTCCACGGCAGCACTGAGGAGCAGCCAGCCGAGTGTTAGGGAGCAGCAAGCAGGCGGGCGGTAAGGAGCGAGGGGTCCCAGACTGTGAGAGGGCACAGGCCGGGCTGAGGGATTCCCCCCCACCCCCAGTGCACGAATTTCGTGCACTGGGCCTCTAGTATCATATATAAAAATAAACTCAAAATGGAGTAAAGACTTCAATGTTATACCTGAAACCATAAAAGTCCTAGAAGAAAACATAGGCAGTATACTCTTCGCCATAGATCTTAGCAATATCTTTTTGGATGTATCTTCTTGAGCAAAGGGATACAAAAGGAAAAATAAGAAAAAACAAGTATTCCAATTTAAAATGGGAAGAGAACCTGAGTAGCCATTTCTCTAAAGAGGACAGACAGATGGCCAATAGACATGAAAAGATGCTCAACAACACTAACTGCCAGGAAAGTGCACACTAAAACCACAATGAGATATCACTTCACACCTGTCAGATGGCTTCCATCAATCAATCAACAAAGAACAAGTATCGGTGAGGATGTGGAGAAAAGGGAACCGTTGTACATTGTTGGGAGGATTATAAATTAGTGTAGACACTATGAGAAACAGTGTGGAGCTTCCTCAAAAAAAAAAAAATTAAAAATAGAGCTACCATACGATCCAGCAATTCCACTTCTGGGTATTTATTTGAAGAAATTATAAACACTAATTTGAAAAAGCATATGCCCCTGTATGCTCCCTGCAGAATTTTTTATAAGAACTAAGATATGGAGCCAGGAGTTGGGGTAGGAGTCTGCCTGGAAGACGACACAGGAGTCGATGGCTGAGGGGGAGCTGCTGGCGGGGGAGGAGTCATCACAGGTGCTGCTGGATGCTGTAGAGGTGGCAGGCCAGCGGCTGTGGAAGCAGGAGGCGGTGTCTGGTGCAAAGGCGACTGTGTCTCTGGTGGACAAGGCAGCTGGGACCCAAGCATGTTCGGAAGGTTAGGAAGAGCAACACCAGGCACCTGTCCCTAACAGAGGAAACAAAGTATGTTAACATTATGCTCCCTATTTGGAAATGTGGCAACCAATTTGAAGAATTTAAATGTGTGAAAATCTAATCATGGTTTCTTGAAGAGGTCTACTGGGCACTGAGTTTCAGGAGCATGTTCCATTTGCAAAAATCTATCCAGCTGTACACTTACAATGTGTACTTTCCAATAAAGTTAATGCTATGTTTCTTCTATTTTGATTTATATAACTGTCAAAATTTCCGGTTTAAACATGTCCACTCAGCTTACTAGCTTCATGCTCCATAATAACCACCCACAGTTAAGACCAACAGAAAAGGTATTTATCTTAAAAAAAAAAGTTGTTGAAATACTGAAATGTTCCAGTGCAGTGAGCTCAGCTGAGGACATGCTTCAGAGGATCTGTAGACCTTTGAAAAAGTGATTCCAAATCACTGGTCTAGAACAAGGGCTACAAGCTACTGCCTGTGGCCACACCCAGTTAGCTGCCTATTTCTGTAGTAAAGTTTTATTGAAACACAGCATGCCCATTCATTTGTGTAGGAATGAACATGGCTGTGATTCCCCCCCACAATGGTGGAGGTTAACAGTTAAGACAAAGAGTCTATGTATGGCCCACAAAGTAAAACATATTTACAGGACATATTTGCTGACCCCTGTTCTAGAGCAATGACACGTTCTGGAAATTAAGAATTAATGAATAGGCATTTAGAGAGTAAATTTAGAATAGTCAATTACTTTTATGCAATATTACTTCATGTTAAAAAATTAAAACACGAACTTCATATTTTAGAGGAAGGTTTGGCCTATTTAATTTATTTATTATTATTTTTTAATATATCTTACTGATTTTTTTACAGAGAGGAATGGAGAGGGATAGAGAGTTTGAACCATTGATGAGAGAGAAACATCGATCAGCTGCCTTTTGCACACCTCCCACTGGGGGCGTGCCCACAACCCAGGTACATGCCCTTGACCAGAATCGAACCTGGGACCCTTCATTCTTCAGGCCGACGCTCTATCCACTGAGCCAAACAGGCCAGGGCAGGTTTGGCCTATTTTAAATACATGTACATATAATACAGCAACACTACTATACTATAACAACAAGGGTTTTAAAAAGGCAGTAAAATGGAGAGAAACACATCGATTGGTTGCCTCCTGTACATGCCCTGGTGAGGGCCCAGGACAGGGTGGAGCCTGCAATCAAGGCCTGCTTCTGAATAAAACAAGAAGTACAGAATAAATGCCCGGGCGCAGTGGTCGAGCACAGACCTATGAACCAGAAGGTCACTGTTTGATTCCTGGTCAGGGCACATGCCCAGGTTGCAGGCTCGGCCCCCAGGTGGGGCACGCAGGAGGCAGCCAATCAGTGATTCTCTCTCATCACTGATGTTTCTAGCTCTCTCTCCCTCTCCCCTTCCTCTCTGAATTTAATAAAATATATACATATATTTTAAAAGGCAGTAAAATGAATGGAAAATAGTTCTCTTCAGCTTTAGACTGAATAAGTAAAAACACACTGAATAAAAGGATAACTACTCAACTGACCCAGTTAGCCTGACTTCAGTTGGACAGTTCAGGGACAGGTAACAAAATAGACAAACCAAAAGTCATTAGCAGTGAACTCATGGGACCCTTCCTGACTCGCTCTTTAAAATTCAGTGTCTCTCAGATTTGCATACGAAACTTAGAATTTAAAAGACACAAATATAAACCAAGAAAAAGACAACAACAACAAAAATCAAAATGCAAAAGCACACAAACCAAAAAACCACAACCCACTCTAGTTTTACATGAAGTTCTTCACCCCAAGATGTTAAGAGTCATTCCAAACACGGTAAAAATGACAGGATAAAATAAGGACAATATCAAGAGATGCTAAAAAATAAAAATCAAAAGTGTAGTCTAGAATTCTAATTTCCACGAAAAAAGACATACTCAGGTCAGTAGGAAGCTGGGGCTGTATCAATGTAGGTGGCCTGAAGGCAAACGGTGCCTGTGACACGCCTGTCTGGGCCGCTGGCTGCCCCATGCCTACAGTGTTCACACTCATTGCCCCACTGGATGAAGGGAACTGGTTCTGAGGCAGGAACTGGTTCTGTGTGGGCGCCTGGGCCATCATGTTGTTGGCATGTGCACTCATCATGTTTGGAGTGTGCTAGGGGCAGGGGCCTGACAAAGAAGAATTACTGAGTAGGCTGAGGGGCAGGGACCATGGGAGAGAAAAATTGCTAATTATCTCGCTAGAAAAGCAATGTGTTATGATTGAACCCAGCCAGGTGTGACCTTGCTCGTAAATTTTATGTAAACTTTTTACCCTGCCAGTACCAGGACCGGCTAATGGACCGCTTTGCAGTTTGTTTTTTCTTGTTTTAAAAAAATACTTTATGCCCTAACCGGTTTGGCTCAGTGGATAGAGCGTCGGCCTGCGGACTCAAGGGTCCCAGGTTCGATTCCGGTCAAGGGCATGTACCTGGGTTGCGGGTACATCTCCAGTAGGGGGTGTGCAGGAGGCAGCTGATCAATGTCTCTCTCATCGATGTTTCTAACTCTCTATCCCTCTCCCTTCCTCTCTGTAAAAAATCAATAAAATATATTTTAGAAAAAAAAATACTTTGTCGTGTTGCAGATAAAAGGTCTTGCTGTACTCTCGGTCAGGACTGCAAGCTGTGAGGCTCTTAGGGGAAGGACACGGCTGGAAGTCAGCTGGCCAGCTTAATAAAGGCCCTTAAAATTTAAAATCTGAGTCGGTGGTCTATCTCACTGAGCTAACCCATAACAGGAGGCTGAGGCATTCGGGAAGGAGAAATGGCCATCTAAAAGACAACAAGCATCACTGAGAATTCAGAGGACGAAAGCCAAAGTATTCAAGATAAAGTTGAAGAGACAGAAATCTTCAAATCCTCCCTCCCTCTTGGGAAAAGAAACACCATTAAGACCTTACAGCTCTGAGGCACTTTGCCAGCTTTCTCATGGAAAGTCTCTAATGAGTGGGTTTCAGATTGTCCTCTAGATAGAAATCAATAGCTGCAGGGGTCCAGGCCCAGGGGCCCAGAGGTTCCCAAATGTGTGGACTGTGTCAGTGAAGAATGTTTTACACAGAGACAGCGTTCAGAACTCTCTAGCTCTCTCTAGTCTCCGTGGATCTTCCTGTGCCTGGCTGAGGCCACAGAGAAAGATCCCCGAGGCAAGCTGAGCCTTTATGTTATAGTCAGAGGTAAACAAGGTAGTGGTTTCCATAGTTACACAGTTCTTGTGAGTTTCACTTATTTTGGCCACTTCCTGCACTTCCCTCAGCCCATTAGCTTCCCAGATAAAATCTAGAGAGCCTCATAAGGTCAAGCCTAATTATGCTAAGAGGACTGTGCCCTCTAAGCTGGGAATTGTTTGTGACTTTGCCCACAGGTCAGTCTGAGGCTTAACCCTGTATCAGCTCCCCACAAATAGCATGCTCTAGTTTAAAGTTCGAGATATGTTTCCTGAGTTCTGTGAAGCATTTAGAAAGCAGCCGGGGGAGAGTCAGCTCTAGTAGTCAACAGACACTGACAAGTCCCTCTTGGCCACACAACTGAGGCTGTCTATTCCATCTACAGAACTCCATCTTCTCAAAGAGTCATAATTCCCTATGAGATTGGCATTCAAATAAAATAATGGTCAAATAATTTTCACTACAGTAATGAAGACGAGAAAGAGAGAAAGAGAGAGAGAGAGAGAGAGAGAGAGAGAGAGAGAGAGAGAGAGAGAGAGATGAAAGAAATAAAGCATAACCCAAATCCAAAGGAACAGGTACCATAGGATTCTAGACAATCTACAATTTTACTGCTTAGAGAATTTTCCTTATTTGGGCAAGGCCATCTCAGGACAGTTAAGGCAAGCAGAACTTATCCCTGGAACGGAGCCCATGCTGTCCACTGGGACAGAGTGGTTCATGGGGGATGCTGCGCGCGGTCCCAGGGGAGCTGGTGGCAACTGTACGTTCCCAAGGACGTCGGGGTAAATGAATCCATCCCTGTAAATGCACCCACAATAGTTCATTGGGAAAAGCAGCCACAGGGAAACAGAATTACAACTTGCCCAATAAACTCTAAGCAAAATAACATGGACACATACACAACACACACAACTGAAAGGAAATCACCCAGCTAATCAGATGATTAAGTAACAGAATGTTCATATCCAGGAAAAACGGCATCAATGCTGGTGAGGGTGGTACGGTGGGGATCGGGGGGGCAGGACAAAATGAGGACATGAGGGGAGAAAGTCAGGTGAACCACAAAAAAATAAGGCTGAGGGAGCACTGGTCAGTATGGCAGGGCCCCGATCAAAAAGCATCAACGTGACTAAGGAGACAAGGCTACATGGGGAAGCTGTTCCCACCAGCTATGGAGGAGGTGCTAACTGAGGCCAGGGCACCCGTCTGAGCCGAGCTCACTAACACCTGCCGGAGCATGTGGCTTCCGTTTTCCCTCCTGCAGGCAGCCCATTCCATTCCCCCCCCCCCCCCCACCTCCACTCCCACCCCGGCCTCCGAGCTCTTCAGCTGGGTTTATATTTATTGTTAGAATCTGGGATAAGACTCAAAATATGGTTTTAATTTTTCAAACAAGTTAGGTGTATAGAAAGCATCCAACGGTGGCAAGCTCTCAGCCTTCTCTCCACAGACGAGAAAAATCCCGTCTCGCAGACCTTCGCTGCCCGGGGCTGCCCATCGTTCGCAGAAATGTTACCCCATGGAAGACACCTCACTAGCTGCTAAGTGTCTCCAGACCACAGCCTCTCCTTCTTTGTAATTTCCTACAATCCTCTGTCAACTCTTTCCTTTATATGATCAGTTTACCTACCATGTCTTTTTCAATATGCAATAAGATTGCTGCAAACTTAAAAAATGGCCTTTTCTCCCCTCCCAAACTACTTTACTAACAGCAGAGCCAAGCCTTGCTTTAGAATCTTGGGTAATGTCACCACCTTATTTCACAACCTGTGAAAACACCTTACTGTTCAAGTCTCAATTAGTAAAAGGTTTGAAATGTCCCTCATCCCCAAACTCCCAAACTAAAACGATGGCTTCAACCAAGCAAAAACTAGTGAATTTCCACCTGACAAAGAACCTTTAAAAGTGGTTGAGACCAGCTGCCAGCACCCCAGCCTGATGCAGACTCTCTGAGTGTCAATCCTGCTGGCTGGGCTGGACCACCTGCACTCACAGGGCCCGGAGCAGCCACTGCACTTTCTCCACCTCGCCTCCCGTGCTGCTCGCTCGCTGCCCCAGGACTGGCCTGATGCTCTCCTTTCACACATTCAGAAACGTTTCCTTCCCCCATCTACAATGTTTGGTGAGACTGTTCCTAAAAGAAATGGCCTCTCCTGAATCCAAACACAACTGATATTCATGCCGCCTGTGGAGATGAATTCTGCTCACCAACAATAAGGAATGTAAGGAAAAAGAAGCGCCATAAAGAAATAAAGAGGAAAAAAGAAACAATGCACTTTGTGGCTGTTGAATGGTAAACAGAAATATGATTCACAGCAATAGTTAAATACCGTGAGAAACCAGTATGCGATTCGCTGGCAGGGGCAGGGGCCTACTATAATGGCAGGGGAAAAAAGTTATTTAAAATAATCCTTGATTGAGGAATAAGGACTTTATCTTGAGTACTTCAAACTTAGAGAAAAAACCAGTCAACAGGTTCCAAAGCACTGGACATTCGATGCTTGCAAACCCTTTAAAGGACCTCTCCACAGGAGACTCAATGTGTAAACATAGGCCAATGTACAAGGTCATGACCACTATCAGTCTCCAAAATGTGGGCTTCCTGAGAACATAATTCTATATACTTAGAAACACACCCCAAATACAGAAGAAAAACAAGCAAACAGATGAAGGGCTGACAGAAGGAAATGACGTCCTTACCTGGGGGTCTCACAGGTTGTGACCTTGGTATCCCGGGAGGCTGCGCCCTGGTGGCTGGTAAGCTGGCTGGTTACCCAAGATGCCCAAACGCAACCTCCGTCTTTCTTCTTGTTCTTTTTGTATCATATCGATTCTCTCTGATAGTAAGCGATAGTATTCAGCCTGAAGAGCAATAACATTAGGCAGTCAAAACTAGAAAAAATGATCTGGTTTGTATGTTCTAAAAAATTAATGAACTTTTTTATTAAGTACACTAACAAAGTAAGCGTTCAACACTTCTAACTAAAAAACCAAAGGCCAAAATTCTTGTTGAACTAGTTACATTACAAGATTTAATAGACAGTAGGCACTAAATGCATGTTACTTTTCTTTCCACAGTTGAACCTCTTGGATATTCACTGGTGCTGGCAATAACATAGTATCAGCATAACAAACAACGCCCACATGGACATGGACATGGCATCCATGGATAAAACGCAATTTTGTATACCTCATTTACCTGTAGGGGTGGATACTACAGTAAACAAAGAGAGTTGTGCAGGGACCTATTTTTCTTTTCTCTTTTTCTTTTTTCAGAGAGGAAGGGAGAGAGAGAGAGAGAAAGAAACACCAATGATGAGAGAATCACTGATCAGCCTGCCTCCTACAGGCCCCACACTGGGGATCGAGCCTGCAACCCAGGTATGTGCCCTAACAGGACCTTCTGGTTCATAGGTCGATGCTCAATCACTGAGCCACACCAAGCACATGGGACCTAATTTCTTATCTGCTAAGTCTCTCTGGTCAGGCTCCTCAAGGTGATGGGCTTACCCAACTAACATATCCCCATTTCCAGACAAGCCAGCCAGACAGATGCAGTTATATCTACCACAGGTATGTGCAGGCTGGAATAAGTAAGGCAACCTACCCAGCTGTTGGCAGACTCATACATGTCCCCTTCCACTCTCTTAGCATAGTCCACTAGGTTCTTCATGCGGGGATCCTCCAGGGCTGCAGGGTCAGGTGTTGGGAAGATGGCTTGGACGCTAGGAGGACAACATATTCTATCAACCAACTTTCAATACATCAGTATCTCGCCACTTTATATGTGACATGGAAAGAGAAGCTTATCTACCTACAGGGGTGATACACTGTTGAGAGAAATCCCAAATCTCTCTTGCCTAGAATATGAGTACACAAATGAAGTCATTCTCTAGAGACAATACTAACCTGTTGATTTATCTACAAGTCCAAAACAATATTCTGCTATTAGCAATAAATGCTAGGTCATCTCAAGAATAATACAATTTTTTAAAAAGTATTTTTTATTGATTTTAGAGAGGAAGGGAGAGGAAGAGAGAGATAGAAAAGTCAATGATGATAGAGAATCATTGATTGGCTGCCCTCTACATACCCCACACTGGAGACCAAGCCCACAACCCAGGCATATACCCTGACCGAGAATTGAACAGCAACCTCCTGGTTCATGGGTTGACACTCAACCACTGAGCTACACCAGCTGGGCAAGAATAATATGATTTTGAATTCCTACTTTTAAACTATTTATTACAATTTTTAAAAAATTAAAATAATGCAGAAAACTCCAAGAGAATCATTGGTTAACTTCACCTTCAATTTAATTTAACTAGCTTGCGAAAGTTAACTATTAACTCTGCACGTTCACTGACTATATATATGATGGTACTGTCATGCAATCTGTATTCACTAGGCCCAAATTCCCCCAATTCTCAGGGGTCTCCAGAAACATAATCTTGAGCCATAAATTAGCTTCTGAGCTAATCCCAGCCCCCTCATGTATCCCAGAGCTCAGAGTACATATCTAGCTGCACTGGGAGTGTTGGCCTCTGTGACATGGCTTACGGTTCATGCTCCTCTACAGGGTAGAGCTCTGAATGCTCTCATGCCCTCACTGGGGATGCGGGGTCTAGGATTCTCTGGCCTGCCAGCAGTGTCTGTGATTCCCTACAAAGGATGTGAGTCCCTTTAGCTGCTAGGGTACTATCACCTGGAACCACTTAGGAATTAAATCAGATCCTGATAATAAAGTGCAAAACTGTCACAATGCTATCAGCCACAAAATGTTTCTGTCACATGGGAATAATGGGGGAGGTGGGGACATACAGTTCATGCACTAGGTGGCTCCGCAGGTCCTGGGTGACATGTTCATGCCAGCCTTCCCGAACGCCAGTGCTGGAAGTAGGTGCTGCTGCTGGCATAGTGCTGAGGGTTCCAATGTTTCCAGAATTTGAGCCGTTCATCGTTGGGCTATGGGAAGAACAAGAACTTCAGCCATCTATTAAAGTGACTCAAATGTGCTTCATTTAAGTAAGGCCTTCAACCATATGAGACTTAAAAAGTTTAAGTTAGGAGAGCCAAGTGGTGAATGTACAACAAAATAGAAACCATGTTTTATCTATTATCTGCTCTACGTTTACAATTAAAAGAAAAAGAGCATGCCTCTACCCAAACTATTTTCTCTGCCTCACATTTAGAAAGAATTATGGCGTTTTGTGTGATTCCCAGCCCACTTTCATGTGTGACTGTCATATAGGAGCCAATTGAAACATGGGTCTTGCTTTATGGCCCCAAGGGAAGTTGGAAGAGTAGATTCTGAAATCAAGTTTGGTGGCTGCTGATCTGTTGTTATTCCTCCTGCTGGAATGTTCATTGGGTTATTTCTTTAAAAACAAAAAAGAAATCAAATCCTAAATTATAATATACACTTAAGAATTCAAGTCACTATATGAATAAGCAATTCTTAATGAGTATAATAACAAACACTATGGCAGGAACTCTGCAAGTTATATTTTCAATAATGGTGATTGACTTGTAATACAAGTTCAGTTGCAGACTCCTTCCCATTGTATCATATAATTAAAATAAGACAGTTTTATGGAGGCTGGATGGTATCATAAGTAACCATAAGGTGGTGGAAAAAACCAGAAATGATCCATTTTAGTTTTAGATTTTGATCCTGGCTTTATTAATATCATGCCCTAAACAATTAAGCTGACTTGTCACATATATGTCATCTATTTCTTTTGTATATCAGAAACTAAAACCATAGATACTAAGTGTAGGTGAAAAGCATAAAAGGTCAATTTGTCTACAGTATTCATCTTACAGGATAAAAGAAGTTAACAGTCTTATCCCAAATTAAACCATCAATTGGAATAGAATTAGTAATTAAAAAGGTAAAATCAGGTGATGAAAAAAAATAAAAAATAATAAAATAGGTTCTTAATTAAAAGGTGAAAAAAGAATTAAAAAAAAAAAGTGCAGTAGTGAAGGTGCTTCAGATCTTCTACTCTTCTTTTTGGCACGCCTTAGTCCTGCCAGGCATTCAGGAGAGTGTTGAATTTCCCTGCAATACACTGTCCCTCCGTGCTGTAAACCACAGACCTGATTTTAAGGCAGGTTGTATTTGTGTACCAGACTGCCTTTCTCTGTCTTTACAGAAGAGTCAGTTTGTAGCTCTGCCTCCGGGTGGCAGTGTGTCTGGATGAGGGGTGGGCAAACTTTTTGACTGGAGGGCCACAATGGGTTCTTAAACTGGACCGGAGGGCCGGAACAAAAGCATGGATGGAGTGTTTGTGTGAACTAATATAAATTCAAAGTAAACATCATTACATAAAAAGGTACGGTCTTTTTTTTGTTTTGTTTTATTCATTTCAAACGTGTTGTAAGCTGATCCACCCTGGTGCTTGAGGGAGTCCCTGCAGGGATGTTTCAAGGGACCTGGTGTATATGGCATATTGTTCTTAATTTGTTTGCTCCCCTCTTAACAGCTATGTGTTTTAAACAGGACCACCTCCCTGAGAAAGGTTGTTTCCCCAGAGGGGTGGTTGGTCGCTTTGATCTTGCTTGGAGTGACCTCCTTCAGTTACTTCCTTGTAGCTTAGTGGAGCAATAGAATAACCTTTGAATGGAGATGGGAAGCCCCCTGGCCTTTTGTATAGAATGGATAGGATTGGGACCAAATAGTATAAATACAGATGCTAGATGACAATAAAAAAAAGAATCTGGCTATGATGATCACCTAAACACTGACTCCGTGTCCTTTATTCTTCGCTGACTCTGTCCACACCTTGGGGAACCCCTGGACCCGCTGGGGCTGGACCGCAGTATTTTGGTGCTGGAACAGGATTCCCCTAAGTAAGCCCCCCACCATACTCGGGGCAGATAGGACTCCACCATAGGAAGAGGGTGGACAGTGTTCGCCGACTCCGTCCACACCTTTGGGAACCCCTGGAACAGGATTCCCCTAGGTAAGCCCCCCTCCCCGCCGCACTCGGGACGGATAGGACTCCACTGTAGGGTGCTGCAGACCCCCCTATAGAGGATAAGTAAGGTAAGTGGGTGGATAGTACAGAACTTAGAATGAGAAGATGTGCCATACTGAGTCTAGAAGAAAAAAGACTCTGTATTGATCTTTTAACACATATGCTTGCTAACAGAGGAGTTAAGGTTACGCCCAGTCAGACGGAATGTTTTATACAAGAAGTGTGTCCATGCTTTTCTGAGGAAGGAAAGGTGCCTTAAGAGGAGCACAAAGAAAAAGAAAAAATGGGAGGAATGGCCTTCATGGCTCCCTCCACCTCCATGTCCTAATCCTGAAATGTTTCATTTGCCGTTAATAGAATCACCTGTGCAAAAAGATCCAATTATAAAAAAATTGGAATATTAAAAGGTACTCTTTTAAATCAGGCTGAAAAAAAGAGTGCCATGGTCACCTCAATGTGGTTTCTTGTTCAAATTAATATCTTAATTTGTGTTTGGAATCTAAAATCTGTAATAAGAAATGAAACCCCGCTGCCGAATCCACCTCTGGTGTGGAGAGATTCAAAGGTGGCAGGAAAAGGCAGAGCTATAAGCTCTCCCGCAATGAGATTACTTAATGTTTTGTTTAAAAATTACCGGAGAACATCTTATGACAACCAAACTTTGGCTAAGATAACCTTGGGTGCTAGCCATAACTTTGGAAAGCGAAAAAAGGATAAAAGATGCTGGCTAGAGCAGGATTGGCATTTCCATAATAAAGAAGTTTTTAGTTAACTTCAAGGCCGAAAAGGAAATTCAGTAAAATTGTCTCTGTTACAAAAACTTGCTAAAGAATATGCCTTAAAATAATAATTTGGATTTGAATCTCAAAAATTATTGAAATATATCTTTATAAAAATCTAAGTAGCCAAGGTAAAAAACTGGTCCTTTGTTAAATAAGAAAGCTTTTCTAATGGAGGAAGGTGATAGTCACCTCCCGCCTGTAGCAAAATCTTAAAGAATGTGGTCAATTTACATCTGAAAAGACCAGGTAGGCCAGAACCTGTTTTGCAAGGCTCAAATGTGGTTTTCCAGAGCCACTTGAAAGTAAAAAGTAATATTGAGAAATGCTGAATATTTGACTTACCAGCTAAAAGTTTAAGGTTCGGATTGAATTGGGAGAAATTGTGTAGTTGTGGTAGCTAAATGCGTAATTTTTTGTTTTCTCTGAAATAATCAGGAATTCAAACTATGTTACAAACAAACAAACAAAAAAAACAAAAAAAGGGGGAGAATAATGTTATATGTTAGACCTTTTGGAAATACAATGCAGAGGGTTGTACAGCAGCCAAAGGCATCGGCCCCCTGTACAATAGCCTCTGCCGACTCAGCCTGGTAGAAGGATACACAAACCAGACAAGTTTTACCAGATCTAGTAATGATGTGGGGAAGAGGTTGTGTTTTATATCTTTCCAGGAGGAGCAGCCTCTGCCTCCCTCCTGGGGACCGTCACCCCTGGGAGGCCAAGTTAGCACACCTGACCAGTGCCCGTCTTCAGCAGATGTGCAGCCCTGAGCTGGAACCACCTGTCCATTGGATCACATGTGCCTCCTTTTTGTCTGTCCTTATGTCCCAGCTTTGCCCCACATCTCCTATCCTTTTTCTTTTTTTCTTAATCTGACTACTTGTTTGCTGGTTCTTTGGCCTTTCTCCTTCTCTCCTGAACACAGCCTTTTCTAGAATCTCCCCACCCTACTGTTCCAGGAAGGGCACCTCCCTTTTCTGCCATGACTGGGAGTGTCTGGTATATGCCCCATACGTGGAGTTGTCTTGTGCCAAGAGCCTGACATCCTGGTCTGAGAAAGCCTGTTCCGGGACTCTCCTTTGTCCTGTATTGGCCCCTCTTGCCCTTGTGTCAAGAGGGACCCTCTTCTCACTATCCAATTGCCCACAGCTGTTGCCTGAGTTCTCTGTTAATGCTGAGGTCACGGTGGCTGGTACCATGGATCTGTCTCTCGCCCAATGGTGTGAGTTGGGCCCTCTCTGGAGAAGAAACCTGGGTTCCCCAAGATATGTGATCAATGCCGGGGCCCCGCCAACAGGCGAGAGGATCCAAAGGCAGTTGCTGGGCATGGAGGCCACAGGGGCATACGCTACCAAGGAGACAGAACTGAACCTCACATCACCCTACTTGGCCCAGAGATGGCTGGTAGTCAAAGACGGGTAAGACCCCACAGGGTGGGGCGACCTTAGACAGGCAGAGTCGGGGGCCAGTAAGAGAGAACTTGGGGTTCAACAGAGGTGGGACACAGATCCTCATCCCCAATTGTGCAGGGGCTTGAACACTCGCCCCTTCTGAGGAAGGTCTCCTGCCCCCATGGCTGCTTCTCGCTTTTCATGTCCAGCCCAGATCGGGACCCAGATAACAGAAAGAGACTTGGCCCAGCTCAGATCGGGAACAGAAAGAGACTTGGTCCAGCTGAGATCAGTACCCAGATAAGAGACATGGCTAACAGCAGCTGCCCTCTCAATGCAACAGGACTTGTTTCCCATTTCTACCTTGGACCACAAGGAAAGGGGCAGCTGAAGGAAAGGGCTGTGTCAGGATGCCGCCTTCTTCCCTTTCTTCTCCCTCTTTTTTTTCCTAACAAGGTTCTGTCATTTAAAAATTAAAAATGGGGGAATTTGTTGGAAGCCATCCACCCTGGCTGCTTGAGGCAGTCCCTGCAAGGATGTTTCAAGGGACCTGGTGTATATGGCATATTGTTCTTAATATGTTTGCTCCCCTCTTAACGGCTATGTGTTTTAAACAGGACCACCTCCCTGAGAAAGGTTGTTTCCCCAGAGGGGTGGTTGGTCGCTTTGATCTTGCTTGGAGTGACCTCCTTCAGTTACTTCCTTGTAGCTTAGTGGAGCAATAGAATAACCTTGGAATGGAGATGGGAAGCCCCCTGGCCTTTTGTATAGAATGGATAGGATTGGGACCAAATAGTATAAATACAGATGCTAGATGACAATAAAAAAAAGAATCTGGCTATGATGATCACCTAAACACTGACTCCGTGTCCTTTATTCTTCGCCGACTCCGTCCACACCTTGGGGAACCCCTGGACCCGCTGGGGCTGGACCCCAGCACCGCGGGCCGTAGTTTGCCCATGGCTGGTCTGGATTGACCTCTGAGGCTATCAGTCCTCTCTATCAGTAGGGTTTATTTTCTCTATTGTACTTGAAACTGGTTTGGGAAAGTCCACCGCCCAGAACTGGTTAATTGTTCCTCCCCCCGCTTTGTTTCCCAGGCTCCCCAAAAAGAACTTGCCCCTACAGGCTCTGTGAATGACCGCAACTGGGGAATCCCATGCACTGGGTTTAACAATCAAACGCACGGATCTAAGGGGAACTGTAACAACAAGAGCCTGATACGTTGTGCGGTTTCGCAAGCCTCCACCTTCCAGGTCTGTGCACAGTCTCCGCCCGCCCACTCGCCCCTGGCACCAAGCAGCCAGCCGACTGCTAAAATCCGAGGGTGCTTTTTTGCATCCAGTCCAGCTATGGGCTTATTTTTAGCGTTCCCTTCTGCCAGCAGCCCTGTGGGGCCCCTTCCCCACTCGCGGGTCACGCTGGTCCCAAAGGTCACGGACTCTGTGGGGCGCAGATTTCGCCCTGCGCGCGGTCCTCTCTCCAACCTGAATGGCAAACCACACCTTTAGGGGAAGTCTAACCTTTCCGTGAGAAGAAGCAGTGCTCGTCTGAGTTCACGCAGTCAGTCGCGCTGCTTGAGATTGTTATGCCCAGATTTCAGGATCCAGCCGAGTCCGATGCAAAAGCAGAGAGTCTTTATTATTACAAACCCGGGGCTGGCTCCCCACCCTCCTTACTGACACAGCAGCAGGTGGCAGAGAGGGCTAGCCCTGGTGCGGAAGAGTTTATAGTGGGTGGAGTAAGGGGATTGTGGGCCCTGCTGATTGGCCAGGCGCAAGTCGGTGTCTCCTTACACAGGATGTGGTCATATCTAGGCGTGCACTTCCTTCATTATCATTGGTTAGTTTAGAGATGTCGTGGGTGTGGCTAGCAGAGGCTTGGGCTTCCGGGAAGAAGCCTTGCCGAGCACACGGCTCTGCCCCAAAATGGAGGACTTGGGGCAAGATGGAGGGCGTAGCCCTCGCCCTTTCAGAGATCCCTTGTTTCCAGGTTAGAGCTGATCTCTGGATGCCGGTAACAGCCACTCAAGATAGCGCGGTCTCCGGGCTGAGCCGGTGCACCGGGAGAGGTTTCAGCCGAAGTCTCCAACCGTCCCCTTTTTCCGGGAGTTCTCTGTGAAAGATCAGACGGAGGCCTAAAACCAGAACTACAGGCTTTATTAGAGGAGAAGCACCTGCCGGGCTGTCTCGAAAGGGGAGGACAGCAGCACGTGCAGGGGTGGGCACGCCTTTAGAGGGGCGGAGTGGGAAGGGTGGGGGGCTTAGTGTACTCGGCACACACTGATTGGTGGCTTACTGCATGGTCCATATAGGACAAGGGCTTAGGGTATTTGGCAGGTGTGGACTGGTGGTCCAATGTCTAGTCCATATAAGGTACCTGGTTAGTCACTCAGGTATTTCTGGGCTGCAGGTTACGTCAGACCCTGCCCACCAGCTGGGGGGAGGGAGGATCTATCATTCCAGGCTTTTGGTAATATTAAAAAAAAATTGAGAGTCCGGGCAAGGTCATGGGGCGAAGGTCTGTCTTCCGTAGCTACTTCCTGCTGAGAGGTACGTCAGGGGCATCTACCTGGGGTCTCAAAGATTCCGGTGACATAGGAGTTTCTAGGTTCTGAATTCAAGGCCAGATAGCTGGTTACGTTGTCTTTGGTCAATCCTGTCCTCGAGGGATTTAATGTGATCTTTGACAATTCCTGATTCATTTACAAAGTAGAAAGATTGGGGGTTAGGAAGACATAAAGGCAGAGCAAGTGTGACAGGTCCTGGGGGACACAGGTGCAGGCTGTAGTCCCACAGAGGAGAAAAATAGCCGGTGGAGGGCAGGCTAAGGGAGGGGTAAGTTTATAGATGTGCACAGTAGTAAGGTGCAGGAGTAGTTGAGGTGGTGTTTGAGAGGTATTTGTTAAACAGGTAGTGTTTTCCATATTAAAGAGAGAGGTGTTGTATAGGGTGTGTTGAGGTCTGGTATAGGAAAGAGTTAAGTTAGTGGTCCAATAGGTTGGGATTGGAGTGGCTATGAAGAGCGTTTGAGCCAGTGACAGACAAATCCGGCAGGATGTAGAGAAGGAGGGATTGATGTTAGAGAGTAGATGGAAAGTTGTGTTGATGAGGGTGGGCAAGGGAGTAAGTTCAGGGTCTGCAGGGCAAGAGAGAATGTCCTTTAGTGAGGGAGGGATAGGTCGGGATTAATAAAGACAATTATAGTAGAATTGATGACTCCCTCAACATCCCAAATCCTTTTCACCTGAAAAGACCAAAAACCTTCATTGGTGAACTCACTGTTAGCTGCCTGTAGGATTATGGTGAGGAGACATATAAAAGGAATTCGAAAACCTGAGCTTCTTCCAGAGTAAAAAGTCGGAGGGTCCCTTGCCAGGTAAGAGCCTGTGAGGAGTGAGGAGTCATCCGGTCCTGGATGGTGCCTCTGAGTCTTCTTTGGGGATGGTGGGAGGCACTCGGTGAGCTTGAGAGGTAGGTATTGCAGTGAAAGTGGGAGGGAATGTTAGAATGGGCTGTATCCCAGGGAAAGGAGAATAGGAAGGAAAGGAGCAGTGGAAGTCGGGGACCTGGATGGTTGGATAAGAAGTAAGACACTGTGCTGGCTTAACTTCTTATTTTTACTGAACCTCAATCCTTGCTGTTTTTCTGAATATTCTGGTTTAGCTTAAGAAGTATCCAGCAACCTTGTCCTGCCAGGCTTGGAGACTGAAGCCTCACTTTCTTGCTCAGAATAAAATGGCCCTTTTACAATTCTTGTAAATAGTTAATTTAGAACTTCTTCTTTCTTTCAACATTTCTCTTTTCCTTCTCATCACATACACGACCTTCACAAATTTCACTTTCAAATTAGCCTTCTATGTCCTTCAAAAATGCATAACCATGCCTCAGACCTTCCATTAGTATTTCTCTTACTTTCAAGAAAGTATACATACTAAGAACAGGTGAATTAAAACATGTCATTTAACCCAGCAACGCTAATATTTTAGTCTTTATTAACTTAAAGACTTTGGAAAATTATGTATAGGTACATGAGGCTGGAGAAAATGCAAGAGGAGAAGAGAGCAGGCCCTGCAATCTGTTCTCAGGCCTCTAGCCGCTTGGATTTTAAAACTGCCTGCATTTTTCCTAGAGATAACGATCTCAGTTTCGATGAGTAAACCTGCCCAGGCAAGGAAGTTGTTTTTTGGGAAGGGTGGAGTGGGTGAGGGGAGCAGGGTGAGAAGACGCTGAGGTCAGGGTAGTTTTCAGAGCAGTAAAGGGGTGAGAATGTTGGCCTTGGGATCTACAGGCTCAGTGAGGGGGGTCCCTTCGCCATGTCACGTCATTGAGGACCTTTGCAAGAAGAACCTGGAGGTGAGAGTACCCAATGAGCCTGAGAAAGGAGGAAATTTCTTCTTCAGAGGAGGGGACAGTCTTAGATAAGGAGATAAGGAGATAAGGCCTTTACAGTCCCAGGAATGGTGGGGCCTTGTGGGGCAAGACAGTGAAATTGAGGTAGGTGACTGTGGTTTGGGACAACTGGGCTTTATGAGGGGATACATGGTAACCCTGGCTGGGCACTGAGGTAGAACCGGAAAAGAGTGAATGGGGGAATTTAGTAAGATGCGGTGTATTGGTGAGGTGGCTAATGGCTGTGAGACTAATCCGTGAATCCCCATAATAGAGACTGAGGAGTGGACAAGGTCCCAGCGAATTCGGAGAGGGCAGAATAAGTTGCCCGAGTGTCCATTAAAAAGGAGATCAGCTTACCTGTTGCCACAGTTGTTCCCCGAGGCTCTGCCCTGGTGATGTAAGTCTGTGGGGCCCTGTCAGGGCCTGGGCAGCTTCTCCAGTTGCCAGTCCCAGGAGGTCTGGGAGCTCCAAACCGGATCCAGAGGGCGGCCATGCTGGACTGGCTGAGGCCTGGACCGGAGGCCAGACTACAGTCTGCTTTCCAGTGGCCTTTTCCTTCCTCACCTTGGGCAGGGCCCAGGCGGGGGTCTCGGGTTTGAGCAGGACTTGGCTCACTGTCTTTCCTTGCTGCTTTTGAGGCATGGGCCCGGAGGAGGCTTAGCCCCTGACTTACCCGCAGTTGGAGGACCGGCACTTCGTTTGGGGTTTGAAAGCGGTGGCTAGGAGCTGGAAGGCCTCCTAATGGGCCTCAGCCTTGGCCTGATCTTGTCTTTGATTTTGGATATGGGTTTCCTCATCCCTATTATTAAAGGCCTTAAAGGTTAACGAGGTCTGTTTGAGGGGTTTGTGGAAGTTTGCTGCGCATGTCGGGGGAGTGAAAGTGGTGAGGTCAGTGGAAAAAGAAACCTGAGAGTGGACGCAGAAGGAGAAGAGGCTGTTGAGGAAGGCAGTCTGTGGGTGGCCTGAGAATGAGTGTTAGATCGAAAGGGCTGTTTTGGAGCTCACATTCTCAGGATCTGGGCTTTCAGGGACTGGGGAGAAGGCGGCTGCTGGTTAGGAGGATTTGAAGAGAAAGATCTGAAGTGTTTTTCGATTTGAGAAAGATCAGAGGCTGAGAGGGGAATGGCTACCTGGGTAATACCCTCCCCTGCTGCAACCTCTCGCAAAGGGAACTGGTCACGGGGGTGGAGAGCGCCCAGGGGAAGGCGGGTGGTTCGAGGTCTCAGAGAGCGTGGGATGCAGGGTTCTACCGCAGGCTGTAAGGGTCGGAAGACAGAGAAAGGAGCTGAGAATCAGTTTGAGAGGCAAAGAGGACTCTGCGAGGTGGATCTGATGAGTGGAACATGAGGAGTGAAGAGAGGGGTGAGAGTGGAGGGAAAAGGAAGCCTGTTCGTAGGGATTTCGAAAGCTTTCCCTGTCCAGTGGCAAAAATTATCTAGATCTCGGAGGATATTGGAATCAAAAGTGCTGTTTTCGGGCCACTGAGAGAGTTTACATTGTGGCCAGGTAGAGCTTCTTTGGTTTGATGTAGCTGGAAAGACCAAGGGTCCAGAGATTGGCGAGGAGACACCGTAAGGGTGTGTTTCGAGGGGGTTTGGACTGAGAGGTCCCCATGACCGGAGGGAAGGGCGAGAGAAGTTGGGGAGGGAACAAGGAGCATCCTCCTTTTCCCTCAGCCAACCTGGAGAGAGAGAGAGAGAGAGAGAGAGAGAGAGAGAGAGAGAGAGAGAGAGAGAGAGAGAGAGAGAGGAGAAAGGTTCCAAGGTCGTCACCCTGAGACCTTTCCCGTGGAGTAGAAGAGAATTCCCGGCCAGGCGCCTGGGCTTTCATAGAACGCACGAAACGTGTAGCCCAGTAGACGGGAAACTCTGTAGGCCCTAATGCCCCTCCAGGTCACAGGGAGCGAGAGAAAAAAAAGTAAGGGGGTTGGGAAAGTCCCTGAAGCCTACTGGTGGAAGGGAAGCGACGAGATCCCCACGTGTCCTGGTGCGGCAGGGTTCAAGAGGTGTCCGGAGCGGGCCAATCAACTCAGAACCGTACCACTGAGCAGAGCCAGAGCAGGAATCAGAAGTTTGGGCCTAGGTTCGAGGATCGTCCACGCTCCCGTTCACCTCTCCCGGGTTTCGGCACCAAAATGAAAGATCAGACGGAGGCCTAAAACCAGGACTACAGGCTTTATTAGAGGAGAAGCCCCTGCCGGGCTGTCTCGAGAGGGGAGAACAGCAGCACGTGCAGGGGTGGGCATGCCTTTTGAGGGGCAGAATGGGAAGGGGTGGGGGGGCTTAGTGTACTCGGCGAGCACTGATTGGCGGCTTACTGCATTGTCCATATAGGACAAGGGCTTAGGGTATTTGGCAGGTGTGGATTGGTGGTCCAATGTCTAGTCCATATAAGGTACCTGGTTAGTCACTCAGGTATTTCTGGGCTGCAGGTTATGTCATACCCTGCTCACCAGCTGGGGGGAGGGAGGATCTATCACTCTGTCTTTCCCAGCTGCAGACTGTCTCTCAGCTGAATCTCCTCTGCCTATTCGGGCTGTATGTTACCCGTTTCAGCTGCTCACCCTTATCTGCTCCGGGACAAGGCACAGGACATGTCTGTCTATATCTCCGCCATTTTCTAGCTCAACCCAAAACTTTAACCCTTTGCGGTCGTATTAAATTTGGACATGGGTGTCGTACTGGTCGGAATTAATTTCCATTGAAAGAGCAGTGATACAAAACATGCAAGATTATGAAGGATAAACAAGATTTATTCATTCTTTTTTGAACATTAGATGTATGTTTAGACAATAATGTGTTTCAATAACATGTTTTTATGTAAAAATTATATTTTATATTTCTCCATTGTGTGGTATCTTTGAAAGCAGTCTCCAATATGCAGTCCTGGTTTTCGACTACCTGTATCACAAAAATAATTAGTTTAGCGTCTTCCGCCCCTAATCTTTCTGTTTGAACATACAGAACAATCTTTACTTTTCACACCTTCACAGTGCCACAATATATGCAGTTTCCCATTAAGCCTTTCATCTTTATCTGAGGCCGATGGTCTTCCTGCCAAAATAAAACTCTTCATCGTTACTTTCAGATTCACAGTACACTTCTTTCGGTAACTTTCTTTTTTCCATTTTGGAGTATTATTTTGAAATATCTTAACAAGCGAGAATGCCTAATTACAGTTAAACGTAACTTGTAAAGCTTTATTTGAAATTCTGCGAAGTATCTCCGAAGCTTGTCGATTTCTTTGCTCTCAAAAGGCGACTGACTCGCCACGGTGTTTTGTATGGCGAGTGTGCAATGACCGCGTTTGTTTATATTGAGTTTCGATATCTCCAATTTGTCGGGACAATGTTTTGGTTCGTGACAAGGTCGCTTAGACACTTCAGAGCTTTCAGAGAAATTATGAACTGATACATGAATGAATAGAGTTAAGATTCGTACGGTTCCTTGCTGTGGTGGCTGAGAGCAGACATACGACCGGAACGGTAAAAAAGCTTTGGTGGCTGAGAGTAGACAAACGACCGCAAAGGGTTAATCGTGCTCATTGTACTCCTGAAACCAACATGCTAAATTTTCTAAAAGCACTATGATGTAAAAAGGAAAATAGTAATGGTAGGATGATTTACTTTTCTATCACCTTGTGGTATAAGAAAGAAGAGACCCAGACTACATTTGTTACACATAATGATCAATTGTAAAAAGGAATTTTAAAAAACAATGTATGCAGCCTTTCATTTCTAGGTGAAGATGCAATACAATAGTTATGCTTTAGTGACAAGTTCTATTATATTCCACTTTCATCCACACTTCCCCAAATACCAACCTTTTATTTTTTATTTTTTAGTTAATACTCACCTGAGGATATTTTTCCCATTTATTTTAGAGAGAGTGGAAAGGAGGCAGAGAAAGGGGGAAAAAAAGGGAGAGGGAACACTGATGAGAGACACACATAGATTGTTTGCCTCCCACACGCGCCTGACTGGGGCTGGGGATCGAAACTGCAACCCTTGACCGGGAATTGAACCCGAGACCCTTCTGTGCTCAGGCCAACGCTCTAACCACTTAGCACACAAGCCAGGGCCCAAAATGCCATCCTTTTCTTTTTTTAAATAATTCTTTATTGTTGAAAGTATTACATATGTCCCCATTTTCCCCCATTGACCCCCTCTAGCCCGCCCTCATCCAAGGCCCTCTCCACCCCATTGTCTGTCCATGGGACATGCATATATGCATACAAGGCCCATGGTTGATTACCCCCCCCCCCCACCCGTCCTCCTCTGCCTTCCCTCAAATTCCACACTCTGTTCCAGGCTTCCATGTTTCTGGATCCACTCCTCTCACCAGTTTATTTTGTTACTTAGATTCTACATGAGTGAGATCATGTGGTACTTTGTCTTTCCCCGACCGACTTACTTCACTCAGCATGATACTCTCCAGGTCCCTCCATGCTGTCTCAAAGGGTAAGAGATTCTTTTTTTCACTGCTGCCTAGTATTCCCTGGTGTAACTGTACCACAGCTTTTTTTATTCACTCATCTACTGATGGGCACTTGGGCTCTTTCCAGATCTTAGCTATTGCAAATTGTGCTGCTATGAACATAGGGGTGCATACGTTCTTTCTGATTGGTATTTTGGGTTTCTTAGGATATATTCCTAGAAATGGGATCACTGGGTCAAATGGCAGTTTCCTATTTAATGTTTTGAGGAAACCTCATACTGTTTTCCATAATGGCTGCACCAGTCTGCCAAATGCCATCCTTTTAGCCAAAGTGTCCCCATCTTAGGGCGAATTCCATTCCCACGTTCAACGTCTTTTTCAAGGCAGACAGACAATCCCATGGAAGCTGTTAACATGGTCACTGTAGTTGTGTTTATGTTAAAAAGCATTTATTTCCTAAACATAAAACATTACTATATTTTAAAAAAACATACCTATCACGAGACAAGCAAGCATTTGGAACTTGGCATTTGTAACAATCAGAGGCAAGGAAAACAAAGTACAAATAAAAGATGTCTGACATTTAAGCATGGCCCAATTTGAGTCCAAATGCTGGTAGCAGATGACATACTACTTCAGAGTAAGAAAACACAGACATTTACTATTGGGGTGACGGTTGGTTGAAAGGGGAGTTATCAGGTAAAAGCAATCATAAACTCTGTTTTGGGAGCTCAAGATGCTACCATCCCTCCATGAACATTTTCCTGATCTCTCTCTTGGGCAGCAGTCATTCTTCCCTGATTTCTCACATCACCTACTAGGGCTCTGCTTCTCTTTGGGCAGTTACACTTCACATATTCACTTCCTTACTCTACCAATTAAGTTAGTACAGACTGCTTGCCAGGCACTGCTAGGCTTCAGGGTACAGTGTGAGCACAAAGCCTGCACTCATGGAGCACAGAATGTTGGGAGAGACAATAGACTAATCACTTAACAAATGTAAAACTGCATCTCTCTATCAGGGAAGATCATGCTCATCTCACCTTCCTGTACATTCCCTGAGGTGGGACCAATGTGTGACTCCCTTGACTTTGTATGTCGAGGTGCCTTGTAAAGTCCCCTGCAGAGTTCAAGTGAGCTGTAGCAGTCTAGCAGAATGACTGGCCTTCTTCAGACACCTCCCACCCCCAGCCAGGCAGCACTGAGTTCTTCAGGCTGAACAAAAATTAAAGGAGTGCTAAGAACAGCAATGCTTCATCTGGCATCCTATCTAATACAGAGGGGATATGCTAATTGACCCTCACGCCATCGCCAAAGATGGCAGCACCCACAGCCAATAAGGAGGAAATATGCTAATTGACTGTCCCACCCTCAAAGATGGTGGCACCCGCAGCCAGTAAGGAGGAATATGCTAACTGACTGCCATGCCCTCAAAGATGGCGGCACCCACAGCCACAAGATGGTCGGCAGGCGAGGGCAGTTGGGGGTGACCAGGCCTGCAGGGGAAGGCAGTTAGGGGGGACCAGGCCAGCAGCAGAGGGCAGCTGGGGGCGACCAGGCCAGCAGGGGAGGGCAGTTGGGGGTGACCAGGCCTGCAGGGGAAGGCAGTTAGGGGGACCAGGCCAGCAGCGGAGGGCAGCTGGGGGCGACCAGGCAGCAGGGGAGGGCAGTTGGGGGCAACTGGGCCGGGAGGGGAGGGCAGTTGGGGGCAATTAGGCCAGCAGGGGAGCCGTTAGGCGTCGATCAGGCTGGCAGTGGAATGGTTAGGGCGTGATCAGGCTGGCAGGCAGAAGCGGTTAGGGTCAATCAGGCAGGCAGGCAAGCTGTTGGGAGCCAGCAGTCCTGGACTGTGAGAGGGATCCCAGATTGGAGAGGGTGCAGGCTGGGCTGAGGGACACACCCTCCACCCCCAGTGTACGAATTTCATGCACCAGGCCTCTAGTCACTGATAATGAGGCTGTCCACATTAATCAATTTTATACATTACTGACATTTATCTCCTTAAATGTCAAAACCTCTTCTTATTTTTAGCATCATTACATCTTTTTTCCCTTTCTTTGAGCCAATGCTATACAGTTGCATACACAATCAATTGCCATGTCACACACTGTTGTATTAGTTGGCATTCCTGCTACTAGCACATCTTCAAACCACTCCCTGACACCGCCACTGCTTTATTACTCCCCTTCTGTCACAGCTTCATCAGGATCCCATGACCTAGGAAACAAAAGGCTATGTTTTGCGGTGGTCTGTTTCCAGGACTCTCTGTCACTGTTCATGCAGATCCAAGGCAGTCCTTCCCTACTGAGCATAAAGATTGTTCTTCTGTAGGTTCCATGCATAGTATACTAACTTGCAAATTGAGTTCACCAGAAACTTCAGTCCCCAATCATTCTCAATAAAACCGAACTCAATTGGCAATCCAACAAAAATTGACACATTAAATTCGAAAGTTTTGTCAGAGTGGTGGGACACATACCATAAGCAGGCAAAGCAACTACTTACTATCTAGTCACCACTAAGATTTCTACTGAAAAAGTTGTACTGGAAGTTACTCAGGCCTGTATACACACCTCTGCAGAGTTGCTCCCACACAATGCTTTGCAGGCGCCATGCGTGCTAGGCATGCTTCCTTTCCAGCATCTTCTTGTACACAGGACAGGATAAAAGGGAACATCCTAGCCCAGGTGCCAGGCCTCCCATCAATCCACCCTTGAGCAAGAATGCACAAACAAACAAACAAACAAACAATAAAAAAGATTGCACAAACCTTCCAACAGCTTTTCTTTAGAAGCCAAATGACTCAGGAGCGGGAAACACTGTTACTCAGAAGAGCAAGGACAACACGGTTCTGATCAAACACATCACCAATGACTGACTGGTACTTACCAGGTAAATCAGGGACAAACAAGCCCACCACTCTGTCCCGATAGACATTTAAGTTCTACTGCTTCCTCTGCTTCCCATGCCAACCACAGGCTGTCAGAAGAAGTGTCTGAGAATCCCTGAGACCTCTCAGGTGGAACAAGCGCCTGTCCAACAAACACTTACTGAGCACCTAAGAGGTTGCTCTCCGTGAGTAGAAGTTTTAAGGAGGTAGAGTTGGACACAGTATCATGAAGGCAGGTGTTCAAAACCATCAGAGTTGCCTAAAATTAGAACAGCCAGGCTAGGGAGAGAGCCAGTGGAGGTATTCAAGCAACAGACTAGAGGGCTGCTGGTTGACATTCTGTCAATGGGCTCATGCTGCATGAGTAACTGGGTTCAGTTTGACTCTGGGGCTGACCCTATAGCATCCATTGGACAGTCCTGTGGGTCTCTGAGTTGGTTTCCCCCAGAGAATGACTCAAATCTCCTCAACAGTTCCAGGACAGATACACGGCCCCTTCAAGGCATTCAAAGAAGAGCATCTCAGCCACTCATGTGCATACCAATAACATGGCAATTTGTTAAAATGCCGATACTAATATAGGGAGCCTGGTATGAGGCTCTAATGTCTGCATTTCTTTTAAAAATCTTTTTAAAAAACTTGATTTTAGAGAGAGAGAGGAAGAGGGAGAGAGAGAGAGAAAAACAACAATATGAGAGCCAGTTGCCCCCCACACGCACCAGGGATAGAACCTACAACCTGGGAGTCGAACCAGCAACCTTTCAGTGTGCCGGACGACGCTCAACCAACTAAACCACACCGGCGAGGGCCCAATGTCTATATTTCTAACAAGCCATCTGGGAGTGCCCATGTTCCTGGTCTGAGGACTACACTTGGAGTAGAAAAAAATTTCACTGATGAGGCAAGTGAGTTCTAGTAGGGAATTTGGTCATGTGTCCACACAGCTCCAGTCCTCCATGCCACCCTATGCACTAGAATTAATGAGAGTCAGATGCCAGGACTGATATCAGATAGACTCCTTGGAAAGTCCTAATTATTCAATAATTCTGATTATCTCTGTAAGGGATAGATAGCATGAGATCAATGATTATAGAATCTCTAGAAAACTGAAACATCAAAATCTCAACAACATAAGCCAAAAAGGTAACCAACGGTCTGAGATTCATTTCCGACAACCTCAGGTTAGCTCCACAGGTTTTTCTGGTAGGTTCTTAGAGACATCAGTGAGAGAAGTAAGATGGTAAAAATGTGTGCGCCAGGTGAGGTAAGCACCTGTGGGAAACCCTGCCTAAACAGCACACAGCCATGGTGGCACAGGGCACATGCTCCACGTGCGGGCACAGATGGGTCTGAGATAGCCCCAGGGGTCCACCACCTCAGAACGGATAGTCCCTCTCTCCCTGAATTACCTTGTTTGCACAGGAACCTCTGAGTCCTGTCAGATCCTGCCCTTACAGACATGTCAACTCTGCTGACACTATCCATGCTGTTTAGAGTATTTTATTGTTACTTTATTGAAATTGGGCTCCATTAAGCCTTACCCTCCAGCAAATTCCGGTCTTCTCTCCTCAAGGATTGCCAATACTAGTGTCTTCTCTCTACCTTGTTCCTTTGAGTAATACCACTGTCACATCATTTTTAATGTAGATATTCTGACTCTGGAACTGACTTTAAGGCACTAGAGCAGTGGTTCTCAACCTTGGCTGCACATTAGAATCACCTGGGAATCTTTGTAAAATCCTGATTTCTGGGCCCCATCCTCCTCAAATTCTGTTTCTTTGTTATGGGGTGAGGCCACAACATTAGTAACAAAGAAACAGAATTTCCGGAGGATGAGGCCCAGAAATCAGGATTTTAAAAAAGATTCCCAGGTGATTCTAATGTGCAGCCAATGCTGAGAACCACTGCACTAGAAGGATGAATCCGCATTTCTTCTATACTGCCTAAACCAAGTGTTCATACGTTTAAGCACAATTTGCTTTAGAAGAGTTGAAAAATACCCACAAACATTTACAGAAAAGATATCGTTGAAACTTGCTCACTCATCATATCAAACTCTTCTATACTCACACAACTACTGTTAGAGCCAAAAAAATACACTCAAAGTTGAAACCTAATTTGAGAAGCATTTAATAATTTTTTAAATAGGAGCTTTCATTTCTTTCATGAAAAATTACTAAAACTTTGTACAAAAATAATCTAAATATTACCATGACTATAATAAAATCATCTTGGTAACACCTTACATTATGACTAGTAGAAACACTGTGGTTTACCACTTCAGAGGGTACGCACCAGATAACTTGTCACAACAGTCAGAGAGTTATAAGGATGTTTAAAAAAAAAAACCACAAAAAACCACATATATTTCTTTTTTTTTCTTAAACAAAAACCACATTCATGTTTCTTAAAAAGAGAAATCACAAAAGTTTACAATTGTCCTGGTGATACATACTAAAAACAAAAGGTCCCAGAAAAGCCACACCCCAAATTAAAAGTTCAGAATGAAATCTTGTCTCATTACTAGAGGCCCAGTGCATGAAATTCATGCACGGGGGGCGGGCGGGGGGGTTGGGGTTGCGGGCCCTCAGCCTGAACTGCGAGAGGGCGCAGGCCAGGCCGAGGGGCCCCACTGGTGCATGATTGGGGCTGGGGAAGAACCTGGGATTGTCCAGCTGGGGAGGGGCTACAGGAGGGCTCTAGGGTGTGTCTGGCAAGTCTTGCTCAGTCCCAATCGGCCGGATCCTAGCAGCAAGCTAACCTACCAGTTGGAGCATCTTCCCCCTGGTGGTCAGTGCATGTCATAGCAACTGGTTGACCGGTTGACTGTCTGCCCCCGGTGGTCAGTGCACGTCATGGCGAGCGGTTGAGTGGCCTTAGCATAACATTAGCATATTACATTTGATTGGTTGAATGGCTGACAGGAGGACCAGACACTTAGCATATTAGGCTTTTATTATATAGGATTCATAGAATTAATACTGTACAACTATAAACTCAAATGAATATTTTAGCACTTAAAAAAGCCTATTACTGAAATGCATCCTAAAACACAAGAAATTGTAACCATCGAAATATACTAGTTTAAAAAATGGTTTTAAACTAACTTAGAGGAAAAACAGACTGTATTCTACTAGAACTATTGTCCCAAACATTTGTTCTAGAATACCAGATTCCTAGATTTTCAATTTATATGAAAGATGCCCTGGAAATTTTTATTAATTAAAATTTTGATCAATCAAAAATTAATTTAACTCATTTTGGGAAGTAACGTTGAAAGGAAACTTAGTATGACTCCTTCTCTAGGGAGGGAAGGAGAATAACGGGCCTGTGACCCCTGGATGTCTCTCCTATGTGACATGGACACTGCTGCGCAGAGTCAGCTCATAGACATCCTCTCAGGAGGGGGTGAGCTGGACTTAACCCTTTGCGGTCGTTTGTCTACTCTCAGCCACCACAGCAAGGAACCGTACGAATCTTAACTCTATTCATTCCTGTGTCAGTTCATAATTTCTCTGAAAGCTCTGAAGTGTCTAAGCGACCTTGTCACGAACCAAAACATTGTCCCGACAAATCAGAGATATCGAAACTCAATATAAACAAATGCGGTCGTTCCACACTCGCCATGCAAAACACCGTGGCGAGTCAGTCGCCTTTTGAGAGTGAAGAAATCGACAAGCTTCGGAGATACTTCGCAGAATTTCAAATAAAGCTTTACAAGTTACGTTTAACTGTAATTAGGCATTCTCGCTTGTTAAGATATTTCAAAATAATACTCCAAAATGGCAAAGAGAAAGTTACCGAAAGAAGTGTACTGCAAATCTGAAAGTAACGATGAGGAGTTTTATTTTGGCACCTTGAATACTGACTCTGACGTAGAAAGTGATAACGTTTGTAGTGATTCTACTAGTAGTGACATAGTTCCAAAAAAGAATTAATAAATTTTGTTTATCCTTCATAATCTTGCATGTTATGTATCACTGCTCTTTCCATGGAAATTAATTCCGACCAGTACGACACCCATGTCCAAGTTTAATACAACCGCAAAGGGTTAAAGGAAAAGCACCTGGGTTATCACCGGTGCTCCACTCCCTGGCACTTAGGAACATGAGCTTTTCCACCTTTCCTGGTACCACTCACAAACTAGAAAGAAAAGCAGCACATTCTCCAGGTAGCAGTGGGGTCTTGAGGAAGATGATCAAGAATGAGAGGAATGAACATGTAACCACAAACAAGGGAGGGTGGCAAGACGGCACAGACAGGGTGGAGGACTAGCAAGACTGTGCTGTGCTCAAAGTCACAGGGAGAAGCTCCAGCCAAAGAGGTAACATGATATTGAAAAGCACGTCTTATCTGTGTCCAAACTGAGGGACACACCCAAGACCACTGTTTTACCTCTAAAATGACAGGAAAGGGCTTGAGACTGGGAAGAGATGCTCATCTTTTCACTGCTCTGATGGCTACAGGGAACCCCTGGGAGTCCCACACAAGCCTCCTGAACTGGGATCACTGCTTAAACAGTCAATCAGCTAAAGGCTGCACAGATGACTCCAAAGACAACAAAGCAATGGAAATGATCAGAGTGCAGCCAGTCTGGGGCAGAGACTCTCCGTCTGTGCTGAATAAATTGTAAGTTATGCTAATAGGACTGGGAGCTGCAGCTCCATGGGGGATGGAAACCTCTCAAATGTCTACATGTGGGATTCTATACTGACCTGGCCTGACTGACGTATCTATGACTTTGGGGTAAGAGGTTTCCAATTGCAAAAGAAGTGACCTTCTATTTTCCCTGCTCCACCCCCAAAGTCACTGCAATTAGTGACGCCACATTCAAATCCTCAGATACTGAGTATCTTTCAAGAAATAGGAAAAGTAGGTCACTTTGGTGATAATCCTTTCCCATTCCTGCCAATTTTGGTACAGGGGGGTGGAGGAGACAGAGAATTAAATTCCAAAACAACCACACCCAGTGAGCACAATGAGACTCTGTGTACTCACTAAGCTTGCTTCATCCTTTGTCACTGTATGTCTCCACTCACTACATACTTTGTGGTTAATAACTTTTGCCCTGCTTCCTCCCTATGTTTCTGTATTCTCTTCAGAAATAGCTCATTTTCCCATCTCCAAGCTTCCCTACCCCCAATGCTCACTTACTTTGTTGGTTTCACTTGTCACTGGCATTTTTCAAAGGGAGGCAAACAGGACAGTCATGTCGTGTGCAGTTCTTCCAATGAGAGATGATTTGTCGTGAAGACGCACAATGGGCAACTATGACCAGAAAAACAACGAGATGTTATTTTTCTATCCAAATCGTCACACTTTCAAATACACCTAAATTATAATGCCAGGTTCTGTAAGAAAATGGTAATAAGGTAACCATAACACAGTACAGGCAGTCCTCAACTTACAAACAGGCAGTTTTCCAAGAAGTTTGTAAGGCGACTGTTGAGAATTGCAAACAAAAACTTCCCATTGAAGCAATGTTATGAATGATGGTGATTAAGGCTCAGCCCACAAAACAAAAGCTTTTTGACCTGAAGTACTAAACAACTGGAATGAAAGGTAGAATAAATAATTCTGCAAGGTCACTATTTAAATAAAAATGTTATAGTATGTTTAAGGATGAAGCCATCTCAATACTCTTGTTGAAGAAATACAAATAGAGAAATGAGAAGTCTGCAGGGATTCTGAAGGCCCCCCCCCGGGCACTTTCCAAAGTACTTGAAAGGGTAATTCAACCTGGTTATTCTCAGTCTTTACCTTCACTTCCATATTAAAGAACTGATTTCTTTCTAAAGGTCTGGCATAACCCTCCTTCGGCTTCTCCATCAGTTTAAGGGTTATGCTGGGAACTCACAAATGTCATAAAGGGAGAGAGGGAGATCAGGTAGACCATCTCCCCAAGGTTTAGGAGCACAAGAGAGAAAAGGAAAGAGGATAAAGATTAGAGGAAAGGATAGTAGTTAGTAAGAGACACTTTCTTTGGTAGAATCAAGGGTCTGCCATAGAAGAGGGGGAAGGGAGGCACATGGTGTGTAAGTGACAGGGAGGGAGGAGGTGGCAGAGATGACATGGTGCACACAGTTCCCCAGGTCACGGATAGTCACCCAGGACAACTTCCTTGGTATCCTGATTAGCCTCAAGACCAAAGTATGGAGGAACAAGGCAGTGGCTTGACACACGACATAGTTGCAAGAGACATTATTGAGAAAAGGGTTTGTACATGCAAGTGCGTGTGCCACACTTCCCAAAAGAAAACAGTGCTCTAGACATTTATAATGAAGACTATGTTTAAGAAGTGACAAATATTTTCTGTGGCAGAGGAAGGAGGTAAAGAACAAATGCTGGGCACAGCCTCATCCAGTAGAAGGTCACAGAATATTATTATTAAACCAAATCACCTTCCTCCTCAGCAATTAAGTGTTCCAGTGGCATCTGACTGGAGGGTGTGTAAAGACATAGGTTGCAAGAACCTTACAAGAAGAGAGCTGGCTACTAACAAGGACAAATTTCATCCTAAGCTTTGCCAGAAGGATTTCAGAAAATGGCACTTACCTTGACAGGCTTTCCCAGCCTGACAGTGTGTCATGTGATTCAAAACATTTTTCATGGTTCCACAATGTGGGAGAGAGCAGGCCCGAACCTCTCCGTTTGCTTGTTCTCGTCTCTGACATTTATGAGCGTGAAGCAGCAGAACCAGCTGCTGCTGTATCAGTTTGCGTTTTTCAGAATATGAAGTGGGGCCCATTGCAATTGCTTGTGTGGGTACAATTCCCACTGATGTTTGCATCTGAGACTAAAATAAAACAAATTAATAAACATTTAATAAGCTTTTAGAGTTCCCATTCATGTTCATTAATTATTTTTCAAACTAATGTTAAAGCTGATGGATATTGGCCACAGAGATAAAGCAGCTGGCGTGGTTCTCTTTAATTCACCAAAGACTTTAAGGAAGATAAAGAAGCAAAGAAATAAACCAACTGAGAAACAAGGCTGATTAACGTTCACTGTGTATGACTGTCTCAGAGCAAGAAAATGCTGCTTATTCTGAACTGTAGTAACCAGAACCCAACTCACTCTGCAACATATACAAGAGCAGGAAAAGCTGTTACTATCTTAGGTTAAACCATACGAAACTGTTGTTTTTGTAGGCCCCAATAGCCAAACATTGGCAATTTCATATGGTTCAACTTAATGGAAAAATATCTGATGCAGCAGAAGAATCAGGGCCACCCTCTGGATTTCATTCTCTTGTGACCAGAAGGACAATACTTTCAGTATTCATTCCCTGTCCTAAAAGAATAATACAAACTTATCCTTAATACGACATCTAGTACAATTGCTAATGCTTATGAAATTCTTTTCCTTCCATTAAAATTCCACTCAGACATCAGGACAATATTTTCAAAAAGTATTTGACAATCTGTTAGATATAGAAATAAGAGTTTAATTGCTTTCATCCTTAAAAAATAACAAGCCAGACTGATTGTACCTCTTAACTGCAAAGAAAATAGAAAAGGTGAGCCATGCAGTCTTCTTATTCTTAGAAACTACCAACATTCTTTAGACAACTCTAGTATGCTGACACTAACACTCTCCACTTGATTTTATAACTCTATGCCTCCCCGGAAAGTACACCATTACTCTGCCTTTTCAAATTAAAAATCTGAAATTGTTGCTCAATGAGATGAAAGGGTTGTATGAACTCGAAGTGGCCTGAAATCCATGTTAGAAGCATCCTTAGACTCTAAAAACTTCCCTGCTTAGTCCTCATTGCCCAGGTGGGGACCGGGAATAGACAAAAAGTGCTTAGACAAGAACTTCCCTTTAAAAACACAGAACCAGCCCTAACCGGTTTGGCTCAGTGGATAGAGCGTCGGCCTGCAGACTCAAGGTCCCAGGTTCGATTCCGGTCAAGGGCATGTACCTTGGTTGCGGGCACATCTCCAGCAGGGGGTGTGCAGGAGGCAGCTGATCGATGTTTCTCTCTCATTGATGTTTCTAACTCTCTATCCCTCTCCCTTCCTCTCTGTAAAAAATCAATAAAATATATTTAAAAAATAAAATAAAAACACAGAACCAAAACTGTGATGTTGTAAATACCCCCAAAAGTAGAGCATAAATTTTATGCAATTTTGTTTAAAAAATAAGAATAAAGGGACAAATCTCTCTTACCAGCTACCAAAACTACAAAACTACAGATTTCTTTACATATATCTAGAAAAAGAAACATGTTCATCAATTCCAGTGTCACCTGAAAATACAAAAGTAAATTCCAGATAAAAGTATTAGAAAAAATAAAGAATATTTTTAGAATGAGGGTAAAGAAAACTTAAAAAGACATAAAATTAAGGTTTAAAAAGAGAAAAATTGTTACTTTTGAAAAGTGGAAACTGAGTCCAAAGTTAGGACCATTCTTAAAGCTCCTATATACAGGGTGGAGCAAAAGTAGACTTACAGTTTTGAGTACACAAAACAGAGTTTCTTCTTCTTCTTCTTCTTCTTCTTTTTTAAACCCTCACCTGAGGATATGCTTTTATTCATTTTAGAGAGGAAGGGAGAGAGAGAGAGAGAGAGAAACAATGATGTGAGAGAGTGCAACATCAACTGGTTACCTCCTGTACACACCTGACAGGGGAGCAAAACTGCAACCTAGGTATGTGCCTTCACGAGGAACTGAATCCACAACCTTTTTTGGTATATAAGACAATGGCTCCAACCAACTGAGCCACCTGGCCAGGGCAGTTTATTCTTATATTATTTTCCATACAAAGAACTGCAAACCTACTTTTGCCCCACCCTGTAAGTTATGTTGCCAAATTGTTTTCCAGAAAGGTGGCAGCATTTATTATATAAACTGTCCTATATCTCAGTGCCAAGAAAACTCAATGGAGAGAATAGTTTTTTTTCAGTTAATGGGGATGAAAAAAACAGGACAACTGGATATCCACATGTAAAAAAATGAAGATGAAATCCTTCTTCACATCAAACTCAAAAATTAATTCAAAGTTAATACAAGACCTAAATGTGAGAGCTAAAACTATAAACGCTTAGAAAAAGATCATAAGAGTAAATCATATGACCCTGGAATAGGTAATGGATTCTCAGATATATCACCAAAAGCCCAAACAACAAAAATAAAATAACCTTATTAAAATTAAAAATTGTGCCCTGGCCAGTGTGGCTCATCCCATGTTGCTGGTTCTATTCCCAATCAGGGCATAAGACCGGGTTTTAAGCTTGATTCCAAGTTGGGGGCATGCAGGAAGCAGCCGATGGATGTTTTACTCTCACGTGGATGTTTTTTGTTTTTTTTCTCTCTCTCGCCCCCTCTCCCTTCCTCTCTGTCTAAAAAGATCAATTTAAAAACATTTAAAAATAATTAAAAATTGCTATGCTTCAAAGGACACTATGTAGAAAATGAAAGACAACCCAAAGAATGAGAGAAAATATTTGCAAATCATAGATGTAACAAGGAACTTATATCTAAAACATACAAAGAACTCATATCGCTCAATGATAAAAAGACAAATAATGTAATTAAAAAATGGACAAAAGATGCGACTAGATACTCAACACCATTAGCCATTAAGAAAATGCAAATCAGAACCACAACGAGATACCACTTTGCACCCACCAGGATGGCTAGAATTAAAAGAAAGACAGTAACAAGTTTTGGTGAACACGTGAAAAAACCGAAACCCTCATCCACTACTGGAATGTCAAATTGAGCAGCCACTTCAGAAAACAGTCTGGTAGTTCATCAAAAGGTTACACCTTGGCCAAAACCGGTTTGGCTCAGTGGATAGAGCGTCGGCCTGCGGACTGAAAGGTCCCAGGTTCGAATCCGGTCAAGGGCATGTACCTGGGTTGCGGGCACTTCCCCAGTGGGGGTGTGCAGGAGGCAGCTGATCGATGTTTCTCTCTCATCGATGTTTCTAACTCTCTATCTCTCTCTCCCTTCCTCTCTGTAAAAAATCAATAAAATATATTAAAAAAAAAAAAAAGGTTACACCTTGAGTTACCATATGACCCAGCAATTACCCTCCGAAGTATACACCCGAAGTAACTGAAAACATATGTTTACACAAAACATATACACTGAGTCAGAAAGAGATGTGACAATAAATGAAGGATGAGAAAGATGTGATGTTGCTGTCTTTGAAGATAGATGAAGGGGAAGAACTCTAAGCCAAGGTAAAATAAGAAGCCTCTGGAATCTGGAAAAGAATTCTCCCCTAGAGCCTGTGACACCTTGATTTTAAGAGTATAGGACTTTGCCTAGCCAATGAAGCTCACTGGTTGAACTTATACCTATGAACCAAGAGGTCACAGTTCGATTCCTGGTCAGGGCACACGCCCAGGTTGCAGGCTCAATCTCCAGTAGGGGCATGCAGGAGGCAGCTGATCAATTATTCTCTCTCATCATTGATGTTTCTCTTTCTCCCTCTCCCTTCCTCTTGAAATCAATAAAAATATATTTTTAAAATATAGGACTTTTAATTTACAGAACTGTAATATAATCAATATATGTTCTTTTAAGCCACTAAAATTGTGTTGATTTGTTAAAGCAACGGTAGAAAACCTATACAGTATTTCTTATAAAGACTATGACTCCCAATTCTCTATACTCTTCCTGTGCTGAATTCTTCTTCATAGCCCCAAACATATCTGCCATTTGCTACATATTCGCTATTATTTGATGTCTGTCCCCAGTAAGTTACAAAAGGCAGAGTTTGTCTGCTATGTCCACAGTACCTAGAGATGCACCTGAAAAGGACACACAAAACAAACAAATACGTGTACACAAATGTTTGCAGCAGCATTATTCATAATAGCCAAAAAAGCGGAAACTTCTCAAATGACTAATACATGATACAACACAAACTATGAAAACATTATGGTAACTCAGTGATTTCTAATTGTTGTGCCGCGGCAGGCACACTGATATGCCTCAAGAAATTTTTTAAAAAGTAACACCTAATTATTTAGTCAGGAGCACGAACTTCTTTTCCCTTAAACTGTAAAACAAACAAACAAAACAAACAACAACAAAAACCAGCCAACACAACAATAGTCATCCAGTGTGAATGAGTCAAAATTATACCTATTTTTTTGTCAGATGGGCAAAAATGTATTTTTTGGTGTGCCACAGAATTTTAGTAATTAGTTTATGTGTGCCATGAGATGAAAAGGGTTGAAAATCTTTGTGCTAAGTGAAAATAGCCAGCCGAAAAAGAGTACAAATTATGTAATTCCATTTCTATAAAATGCCCAGAGTAGACTGTGAGGTTTGGGAGAGCGAAATGCCCCTCGTAGTCCCAGGCTGCAATAAATGTGACTTTTTAATTTGGGAAAAAAAAATGCCCAGAGTAGATAAATGCACAGGGGCAGGAAATAGATTAGTGGTTGCTCTAGCTGCGGGATCAGGGGAAATGGGGAGTAACTGTTAATACTACAAAGTTTCTTTTTGGGGATGAAACTTTTCTAAAATTGACTGTGAAGATGATTGCTCAAAACCATAAAACTGTATACTTTAAAGGGGGGAACGTAAATCTATAATAATAAAAGCGTAATATGCTAATTAGACCAAACAGCTGAATGACCTTCCAGAGTCCTTTCCAGGCTACGAGGATCAAGCCACTTGCACGAATTTCATGCATTGGGCCTCTAGTTATATATAAATATATCTCAGAAAAGCTGCTTAAAAAAGTTCTATCCTACTTTTAATCATTAAAGAATTGAAACTAAAACAAAAGGCATTTTTTACCTATGAATATGATCAAGATAAAAATTCAATAATTGATATTGATGATAATATAGAGAAATAGTAATTCTCAGGCATTCTGGTGATAATGCAATTTAGTATGGCTTTGGAAAGCAACATATATCAAAAAGAGAAATGTGCATTTCTTTTGATCCAGCAGTTCCACTTCCTATGATTTATTATTAGGGAAGCAACTATAAACTAGTACACTAAAATGTATGTGCAAAGACAGGCATCATGCCTTGATTAAATCACCAAGAATTGGAAAACTCCTAAATGCCTTTCAAAGGTATACTAATTAAACAAATTATGGCAACAGGCCTAATAAAATAATACGCAGTTATGAAAAATAAGGGGGACCTCAAAGATCCCAGTCACAGCTATGTGGAGCAAAACAATGGCCCAGCTGAGGCCTGCCCAAATTCTTGACCTACAAAAAATTGTGAGATAATAATAAAGTGATTATTATAATAACATAATAACATATTAGACCATTATACTTTCATGAAAAGCTGTCTCTAACATATTGAGCTAAAAAAGGTTACAGAATAGTACCATAAAGTCAGCTTTTTCTTTATTAACTTTATATGTTTGTATCTGTTCTTAGAAAACTCTATTATCTGGTGGTTATCTTTGGACAGGATCATGTATTGTTTGAATGTTTTACAACATCTACTATTTTAAAAAAAATTCTGCTCTTGGGGAAAAAAGAATTCCAAAAAATCAGTAGAAAATGATAAATTTTTAAAGGTAAAAAATAAAATTGTGAAGATACTAGAAGGTAATTAAGAGGAATATTTTGTAATGCAAAGGTGGTAAAGACCTTCATCAAAAAAAAATATAAAGCAGTGGCTCCTAACCAATTCCCAGTAAAAGCCTCTTCAAATGCAGATTCCCCATTCTTTCTTCCCAGAAACTGTAACTGGAAAATGTACGGCGGAGCCAGAAGCAGTTCTACTTGTTCAAGTTCCATAGAGGATGCATTACTAATTTTAGCTTTATACTTTTCCCAGATTTTCCAAAATGAATATGCACGTACTTTTACAGTGAGGATAAGACCACACATTTAAAGAAAAGGGCCCACAGGTGGTTCTGATCCAGTGTTGGGCCATGCCATAAAGGGAGTGCAGGAGGACAGACTACAGGAGAACTTCCATTTTGTTCCAGGACCAAAGCGTAAAGGCTATCAACAACAAAACAAAACACAAAACCAAAAGAACTAGGAAAAAAATAACGAACACACAAGACAAAGCAAGTTAATAGACAGGTATTATTTCTTTTTGTCCTCTTGGCCAGTCTTTATCTCAAGTACTTCGTGCCGAACTCTGTGCTCAGTGCTCATTCAATATCCAATCCCCAAGGGAGACACTAACTCAGGACCAGCACCACCTTTCAGAAGTAACTGAGGCCCAGGGGTGTGCCCCTTGTCCAGGTGGCATGCTCAGTGATGGGGCAGGAAGTCTAGCAGTAGAGCCCCCACCCTTAACCTCTCTGATACCCACCTTGACAGAGGCCTGGAGCAACTTGCTTTATGAAAGTGTTCTAAGAGACTCTAACAGAAAGACAGGCAAAGGACAGGAGCTAGACAACTCAAAAAAGAAATATGTCTTTAAACATAAGTAATTTAATTTTTACCAATAATTTAAAAAATTATAAATCAAAGTAATGAGACACCACCACCTTCTGCTATCAAAGCCCAACCTCGGGAGCATCTTGTAATGCTGGTGATCTGGTTCATGGCTTTTTTTGGAAA